CCTACTTAACCCTTCCACTAGGCCCCATTTCCAAATAGCTGTGAACTCATGAGTGGGTTAACTCATTGATGAGAGTAGTGTCCTCTTGATCCAATAACTTCCTCAAAGCCTATCAGCTAGTCTTTGGGAGGGCATTTTAGACCAGACTACAACACTTGGGTTTCTTTCCAGATTACCTGTTCTGTTTCATTGATCTCTGTGACTGGGGATTGAACCCAGGGCCTCTTGAGTGCTGAGTACATGCTCTACCACTAAGCTACACCACAGCCTTGTGTGTCAGTTTTTATGCCAGTAGTATATTCTTTTGATTACTCTGCCCTAGCAGTATGTCTTGGAATCAGGTATTATGATGCTTCCAGTCTAGTTGTTTTTAGTTAAGATTGCTTTGTCTAGGTGAGGGTTGTTTGTGGTTCCATATTGTTATGAGTTTATCTAAAATGTCCTCCCAAAGGTGCCCTCCCTCATGGTGTTAAAGGCTCAGTTGCCATCTGATGGGCTTTTGAAGTAATTGAATCATGGGGATTCTAACTTTATTTGTGGATTAAACCATTGATGAGATCGAGATCTGATGATACTGCTGGGAGACATGGAAACAGGAAGTGGGACAGAGTTGAAGGGAGTGGATCATGGAGTGTGGTTGTGGAGATTATATCTGGTTCCTGGCCCCTTTCTCTAGCTGTCTCATCTCTCTGCTTTCTGATTGCCATGAGATAGATGACTATCCACCACCACCATCTTCTACCATGTTTCTGCCTTGCTGTAACCCTAAAAGCCATAGAGCTGGCTGATCATTGACTGAAACATGAGCCAAAATACATCTTTGCTTTTTTGTTTATGTCAGGTGTTTTGTCACAGAGATAGAAAGCTAACACACATGAATTTTAGGATTGTTTAATGTATCTATGCAAGGAAAGAAATAATACATTGTTTTAAAAATTTATGTGAGAAAACATTTGTTTGTTTTATATGTCTTTGTGTATTTTTATATATCTATGTATACCAAAATGCATTGATATTTTGATAGAGATTACATTAAATCTGTAAACTACTTTAGCAAATATGGACATTGTAACAATGTCAGTAGTATACTTCCAGTTCATCAGGTGATCTTTCCATTTTTTGTGAGTATCATCTTCAATTTCTTTCATCTTGTTTTGTAATTTTATTATAGAGGTCATTTATTTTGCTAACTTTATTCCTAGATATTTTAATATTTTGTGGCTATTTGAAGATGTATTATACTATATAAATAGTATCACGTGCCCTATTTTATAAATAAGAAGACAAAGAAAAAAAAAAGACAAAGATATAGTAATCTCATGCCCAAAGTCCCATAAATAATCAGTGTTGTCACTGGGATTCAGACCTAGGCAATCTGGCTCCAGGACACACTTTTTCTGTGTTGGAAATCAAACCTGGGCCTTTGCTTGTGGCAAAAAAAGAGCACATTACAGCTGGGGATATATTCAGGGTCCTGAGTTCAAGTCCTAGTATCAAAAAAAAAAAGGAATATCATCAGTAGACAGATGAAGCTAGAAAGATAAGTTAGGGTCAGTTATCATAAAGGAGACATGGTCACAAGATGATAAAATTATGAGTTCAAAACTCAAAACATAATCTGTCCCCTGGGGTTTGGTTAACCAATCTGTCCAGCCCCTCAGAATGGAGAATATAAGCCATATCACTTATGAATTTCTGCAAAATGTTAATCCCACACCTATACTTTTTTCTGGAATGTCCTTCTTTTTAGTGTATATCCCAGAATGCAGTGTCCGACATGTCACCTATAAAATGAAAAATAGTCAAATAAAGCTTCCTCTAGTGATGCCATTCTATAAATTCATGTGAATTAAAAATAATTCTGGGGCCAGGGATTTAGCTCAGCAGCATAAACACCTGCCTGGCAGGTGTGAGGTCATGAGTTCGATCCCGGTACCGAAAAAAAAAGGAAAGAGCCAAGAGTGATGGTGCATGTGTGCAATTCCTGCATTCTGGAGAAGCTGAAGCAGAATAATTGCAGGTTTGAGCCCAGGCTGGGCAAGTTGGAGCCTTGGCAAGACCTCATCTCAAAAGTTAACAGTGTGTGTAACTATATATCTCAGAGGAAAAGCCCCGTGGTTCAATGCCCAATATCACCACCACCACGACAACAACAAAACTATAGTTATTCCCCATGTAATGACTTACTTGGTCAACAACTGTTCCGACGTACGACCTGTTACCACTCAGACATAACAACTTGTCCTTTTTTTTTGGTACAGTTCTGTACATTTTGTTTATAGAACCTCAATGTCTTTTTTTCTAAGTACAGTACACCTTGTTACAGTACTGTAATTTTTGCTGATTGTACTGTACAGTATAGTTTTATGTTCTTTTATGCATTATAGTACTGCATGTAGCAGTTATGCAAATAAATGCAGTCATCAAGTTGGAGCTTTCTTTGACCATTTGCTCTGAATATTGTAATGTACATATATTCTATATAATTCCTCATTTAGTGATGCAATCAATGACCCAGTTGGGAGGTGCAGACCAGTTATTAAAGGAGCAATGTCTGTTTTCAGAAACTTTGAAAGAAGATTCTTTAATCACTTCTAAAGTAAAACGCATTTTAAATGACAGGACAGTTATCATCAACGTGACTGCATAGTCTGTTACATGAAACCAAACACAAATTTCCGCCATGAGACTGGTTCACTAGCTTCCCAGATAAGACCCCTCCCTGATTTACATTTGGAGAAATGGCACACCTCTAGATTACTAATTAAATGACAAGTTGGCTACCTCAATTTAAAAAATCAGAAAATGATTGAAAAGGGGAATGAATTTTCTTTGTAGTTAGAAAGGATTTAGGGAATAGCATATTAACAAAGATACATTATTAAAACTCCAATATTTACAAATCCCCAACAAGCTTTCAGGGATTTAGGGATTTTATCTTTGACTTTTAAAACCAGCTTCTGATGTCAGTCAAATAAATGAGCATTTAAAAACTACAAGGATTAGTGAGACAGGCACTTACATGGATAATGTCTCCATATTCAGGATATGTATGGAATTCCCAAAACACAACAAAAGACAATCCAGTTTTTTAAAATAGACAAATGATTTGAATAAACAGCTCATCAAAGAAGATAACTTTCCAAGTGACACATAAAAAGATGCTCAACGTCTTTTGAGCACTGATCATTAGGGAAGTGTAAATCAAAACAGTAACGAGTTACCACATCACACCAATTATGGTTTGATGTTCTGTGCTGTTCTGTTCTGCTGGTACTAGTGACTGGACCAAAAGCCTTTGCAGTGAGTTACACCCTCAGTCCTTTTTTATTTTGAGATAGGATCTCACTAAGTCACTAAATTGCTAAGACTTGGGTCAAACTCAGGATTCCTCCTGCCTCAGTCTCCCAGAGTACTGGAATTACAGGCATATGCCACCATACCCAACTGAAAGCTATAGTTAAAACAAGGAAAAGGAAAACAAGTATTAGTGAGAATGTAAAAAACTTTGAATCCTCATATATAATGGTGCAGCCATTGAAAAACTGTTTAGTGGTTCCTTAACCTAAATCAAACTAGGCTTGGTGGAGCACTCCTGTAATCCCAGCACTCAGGAGGCTGAGGCAGGAGGATGGCTGTGTTTGAGGCTACCCTGAACTGCATAGTAAGACTCTGTCTCAAAAAAAAAAAAAAAAAAAAAAAAAAAAAAAATCCTAAACCTTAAATCTGAGCCAAGTATAGTGGTTCATACTTATAATTCCATGTACTTGGGGAAAGATTATGAATTCAAGGCCAAGCAGGGCAACAAACAGAAAGATTCCACAAGAATTGAAAACAAAGCCTCAGGTATTTATATACCATTTCTCTTTGCACCGTTGTTCACAGTAGTCAAAAGGTAGAAGCAACCTAGTTGTCCCTTATTAGATGAATAAATAAACAAGATGCAGTATATATATAAAACAATGTAATTCAGCCATAAAAGGAAATAAGTTCTGATACATTTTTTTTAATATGATTGAACCTCAAAAACAGTCCTAAAGGCCAGGGATAGATAGGTAGGTAGGTAGGTAGATATCTCCATTGCACAACACCTGCTTGGCAAGCACAAGATCCTGAGTGCAATTCCTGGTATCAAAGAAACAAAAACAATGCTGAATGAAAGAATCCAGACACAAAAGGGCAAATAGGATATGGTTCACTTACGTCAAATACTTAAAGTAAGAAAAATTATAGATTAAAAGATTAGGGAACTGGAAGGCTTGAAAATCATTAATGGTTACAGAGTTTCTGTTTGGGATGATGAAAGGTGGTAGAAGCAAATGCTAGTGATGACTGCACAATCCAGGGAATATTTAACGCTACTTCATGGTACCCTCACATGGGTAGAAGAGAAAATTGGGTATTTACTGCACTACCGCAGAAAATGCATTTTTTAGAAAATTATTTTTAAAAACCTACATATACTAGGCAGTGGTAAACTGAGATTGACTTGTATGTGCTCTTGGAAGCTGACTGTGAGAATCTTTCCCACTACTTAATCACTGACATTGTTACACACCTATAATCCCATCACTCAGGCTGAGGCAAGTTGGGAGTTCAAAGGTAACCTGGACTCTATAGCAAGATCCTGCCTCCAAAAAAACAAAAACAGAAAGCATATAAACTAGTGTATCTGGAAAAATAGATGCCAGACTGAGTATGTATTTACCTCTGAGGAAGAGAGTAGTGTTGTAGCAGGAATGTGAAAATAAATTTATGATTTTTACCATATGTATTTCCTTTTATGTTATAAATGGACCAGAAAATCTGCATATATTGGAGTTGTGGAATGGGTTAGTTTTTTCTCGAGAGTCTAAAACTGTTCATATATACAATCTGAAGTGGCCTATGAAGAGACTGAAAGCCAAGCCTGAAACTTGGATTCTGTTTGCTTAGAAATCTAGTTTTCATTTGTGTCTTGTTTTGTTCTTACCCAAGTATGGCTTTTCTTGTCTCTATAGGTTACCCCACAGCCTACCCAGCAGCAGCCCCAGCCTACAATCCCAGCTTGTACCCAACCAATAACCCCAGTTATGCTCCAGGTAAGTAGAGTGTGGGCAACAATGGTGAATGGCGGGAGAGGTAGAACTTTTTTTGGAAAAAGAAACCCATCTGCTGGTCTTTCCCTATCCTTAATTGCTCCAGCTTCAATCTATCCAGGTTTGATTTTCCTTTGGGTACTAGGGCAGATCAGCCTTAGGGTGGGGGTGGGAATAGAATCTTCATTCTCCTTGGGACTTAAGAATTGCCAGTCTCTCCTGTTCTGGAATGTATGAGACATACATCTTCTTTATAGAACCTTTTGTGCGTTTTCTAGCAATGTGTGTGTGTTCTCTGCTCATTTTCCCCTGAGGCTGCCAGTGGGAAACATGCAAACACATGCAGCAGACTACTGGGGTATAAATTTGGAAGAGAGTGAGAGACTTGCCACTGTGGACTAAAGAGCTGCTTTCAAGCTGAGATATGCTACGTATTTTTCCAAAATAATGGAACATCATTATTTCTTGGATAGAAGTTGAAATGGGTTTGAGAATACTGAAAAGACTCATTCTGTTTTGGGCCAGGAGCATTGCAGAGGTCTTATGCAGATCCCAAGCTCTTTGCTCAGCAAGTGCTTTCATACTCAAGAGCAGGAAAAATATGGGCCCTGCAATTAAAAAGTTCTGGGTTTGAATCCGGATTACCCAGCTCACTGGTAAAGCCTTGAGCAAGTCACCTCCTCTGAGATTCGAATACGTACAACTACCTACTTCAGGGTTGTTGATGGCCTTATGTAAGCGCCTCTTCATTTATTCAGCAAGTATGTATTGTTACTTATTTGTGGAATGTCCTCTGTACTGGGATAGAAAGATTAACAGAAGTCATCTTTTTTTTTTTTTTATCGGTACTGGGGATCAAACTTACGACCGCCTGCTTGCAAGGCAGGTGCTTATGCCGCTGAACTAAATCCTCAGCCCCAACAGAAGCCGTCTTTGCCTGAAGTAGTTCATAGTCTGTTTGAGAACCTAGCATACAAGCACATTCATGGCAGTGCAGTGTAAGTGTTATAAAACGGATATAAGCTGGAGAGAAGAGAGACCACTATCTTGGGATGAGACTACTGTACAAGGAAACCTTCGCAGAGGAGCTTGTGGAAGAAACGTGAGGGAAAAGGAAGAAGTGTTCTGTTAAGCACAAAGGGAGCGGGCATTCCAGGCAAAACAGAGTATGGCAAAGCCATGGTATTGTGGGAGCTGTTAGGAACCTAGAAGTAGTAGCAATTATTGAAACTGTGAGAGGGGCTAGATGAATCAACTACACATTTGCAAGGGTCAGATCCCATTTTCTTGTTTTTATGGTTATTATAAAATTAGAAATCTAGAAAAGACCTTAGATGTCCTCCAGTTCAGTCTTTTCTCTTGACAGCACAGATCCAGAGAGAAGCAGTGCTTTGTCCCATTTTCAGCGAATCTTCCAGAGCTTGGAGAGTAGAGTTCTTGGCAGGTGTTCTGTGTCTCAGTCCCATGCTTTTCTATGCCAATCATTCTACTTTTATTCCCTTTGTTTTAGGGTAATCAAAATAGAAAAGAACATGGGGCAGGTCTAGATTTGAGCCCTGGAATCAGTATCATCCCCTTTCTTTCTGTCTGTCTGTCTGTCTGTTGCTTTCTGTGTCTGTCTGTCTTTCCCCCACCCCACACTCCTCTGCTCCCTCCCTCCTCCCTGTCTCCCTCTGTTTTGTCACTTTCTCTGTCTGTCTGTCTCTCACACATACACCCCCATAACTTTATCAGATAGCTCCCTTTTTTTTGACAAAAAACTGTTTTATGCAAATAAATTATAACACTTAAATTTCCTGCATAGGTACATCATTCCACTCGCATTTATTTTGGCCCTATTATGTCTGAGTTACTCCAGAAGACACTGTAGGTGATTCAAACTTTAGGAAGTTCCCTTCACTGTAAGAATTTGTAAAGTGACATATGAGCTAAGACTCTCAGGATTAGTATCTCAGAATTTTAAGATAGGGGCTCCATATATAGTTCGTGCTGGCCTTGAACTCACTGTATAGCCCAGAAAGGCCTCAGCCTCCTAAGTGTTGGGATATAGGCCTATACCACCATGTCTGGCTTCTATGTTTAGTTTTTTAAAAAATAATAACTGTAGGGCTGGTGATTTAGCTCAGCGGCATAAGCGCCTGCCTTGCAAGCAGGCAGTCATAAGTTCAATCCCCGGTACCGATAAAAAAAAGGGAAAAGACAAAAAAAATGCAAAAAATAATAACTTTGGTTGTTGTTTTCATTTTTGTTTTTGGGGGGTTTTTGTTTTGTTTTGTTTTTTTGAGACAGAAGCTTGCTGTGTAATCTATGCTGTCCTTAAACTCACAGCAATCTTTCTGCTTCCCCTTCCTGAGTCCTGGGATTACAGATGTGAGCCAACACACACTGCTTTGAAAAAGAATATAGTATTTGCTGGGCATCACACGCCTGTAATCCCAGCATGTAGGAGCCTACGGCAGGAGGATCCTTGTGTTTGAGGCCAGCCTTGGCTAAAAAGTGAGCTCAAGGCCAGCCTAAACTGCATGGTAAAACCCTTTCTCAAACAAACAAACAAACAAAAACAAAAGAATAATATTTGTTATAATTTTTTTTTATCAGTACCGGGGAGTGAACTCATGACCACACGCTTGCAAGGCGGGCGCTTATGCCACTGAGCTAAATCCCCAGCCCCATATTTGTTATAATTTTGTGTGGGAGATGCTGAGGAGTGAACCTAGGACTTTGTATATGCTTTTCAAACACTCTACCACAAGACTCCATCTACATCCTATATTTACTTTTGATCACTAAACTACAGTACCCCCAAAAAATCAAGAAAAGGAAAGAGCAACAATAAAAGCTTCAGAAATTGTCTCTGATAAAATTCTTAATCAAATTTGGTAGGTTCTATTTGAAAAACTGTGGTGGCTCTGATGATCAAGTCTATCATGATGATATATAAGTGATTTAAATCCTAGAGTCTGAAATTGGCATTGTAAACTGGTCTGAAACAGTGTAAAGTGAGATGCAGAAGGTCAGATAAGATCAGATATAAGATAGATGCATTGTCTTCATAGTCAAGAGGCCACCAGTGACTTCACTGACTACAGGAAGGGAAGTATGAAGACTGGAAACTGGAGCACAGTGAACTGGAGAGGAAAGTGGATGGAGCAGGGATAGGCTGTGTTTATAAGAAACTTGGCAATTGGAGAAAGCAAAACGAAAGGACTAGAAGGAAATGTAGGATCAAAGGAGGGTTTTTCAGGTTTGAGCATGTTTAAACAAGCACTAATGGGAAGGAACAAATGGAGGAGACGAGTCATGATGATGACAGACAGCCAAAAGTCCTCGGACAGACAGAGCCAGAAGTCCAGAGCTCAGTTCTCTTCTTTATTTTGAAGAATTAAATGACAGGAAGAGAAAGGGGTCCTGACATGAGAGGGCAGCTCTTCCACTCAGACCAACGGTAAGATTACAGGTGGATAGATATGCTAAGGACAAATGACCTTGATTTGCTGACATAGAAATGAAGAGAGAGAAAGGGAGGACTCCAAAAAATCAAGATTCAAGTGCAAGAGACTCCCAGGAAGCAGTGAGGTGGAGCAGGCCAACCCTGGAGGCTGGCTGAGGCCATGAATTAATCCAGGCTCTAATCCCCACTACTAGGCTAATTTCTCATAATGTTCAGCACTTCTGCTGAGAAGTTGTAGGCTTGTTTTAGGGTTAGTTTAGCAAATGAAAGAATAAGAAAGAAATAGCCGGGTATGGGGGCACATCCTGTAATCCCAATACTCAGGAGGCTGAGGCAGGGGGTTTACTGGAGTTTGATGCCAGGCTTGGCTATAAAGTGAGTTCAAGGCCAGCCTGAACTGCATGGCAAGACTCTGACTCTCTCTCTCTCTCTCTCTCTCTCTCTCTCTCTCACACACACACACACACACACACACGCACACGCACACACACACAGCAATACTACTTATTGAATTCCTATGCGTTAGATTATTTTTTAAGCTTGTTACAGATGTTAACTTTTATTTAAAAACAAACCACTGAGGTCAGTACTGTTGTTACTCCCATTTTCCAAATGGGCAAACTAAAATTTAAGAGAAGTCCGGTAACTATCTCAGAGATCCAAACCCTGTCATCCTGCTACAATACCCACATGACCAAGATCTTAACCACTACCTTGTCTTTGAAGCAGTAGGCAGAATGAAATGAAGGTGTCAGTCTAGAGCAGCCAGGATAGCAAGAGCAGATAGTAAAGAAAGGAGGAGGCTGAATGTGTATGTGTGTGTGTGGAAAGCTGTTACTATGTATAGGGTATTGTTTTAATCTTTTATTTTATTTTATGTATGCATGTTTCACTGTGCAGTTCAGGCTGATCTTGAACTCACTTTGTAGACTAGGCTGGCCTCCAACTCCCAGCAGTCCTCCTGCCTCAGCCTTCCCAAGTGTTGGGATTACAGGCATGTGCCACCACAACCAAATTATATATATATATAATTTTTTTAAGTCATTTTGTCTTTTTTGAGAAAGGATCTCGCTATGCAGTTCAGGCTGGCCCTGAGCTCACTTTGTAGCCCAGGCTGGTCTCGAACTCACAATGATCCACCCACCTCAGCCTCCCGAGTGCTGGGATTACAGGTGTGAGCCACTAAGCTGTTTTAATATCTTTCAAAAAGCCCCACTTTCTGCTAAAACTCAGTTTTCCTTGTTTTATGTTTTTAGAGATCAACTTATTTTCAGGCTATGACTAAAGGAATCATTTGCTCAGAAATCCACAAAATCAGGAGAGTGTGGTGCTCGTGCACTATGTTGAAAAGCCCCAGACTGTGCCTCTGAGTTTGGTGTGACCTTGAGGAAATCCCTTTCTGTTCTGAGTCATGAATGTATACACAGTCACATAGAGGCTCATGTGCGCGCGCGTGCGCGCGCACACACACACACACACACACACACACACGCACGCACTCTTACTCACCACTCACTTCTGGGTTTGTCTCATAGTGTGGAATGTTGGCCCGCATTCCCAAGCCTCCTTATTGCAGTGGAGGAGTTTCTGCTGTGGAGGAGCTCACCCAAGGTTGGAGAGGACAGTATAGATTACTCTCTACTTCCTGCCAGGCTAGGATTTTGTGATGCAGAGAGGTTCCCAAAATACTGGAAGAGCTATTCTTAACACTTCTGAGTACCCTAAGATGTCATCTGTCCATGAGGCAGGGAAGGAAGCCAGTTAGTTTTTCATGGGTACTGAAAACAATGTGGATACTTCAAGATCTTAATGATTTGGGGGAACCTTCCAGAATCTGCTTGGCCCCACAAGAGACAGGAGCCAGCCTAGATTTGGCTTTCACAATCTGGAAAACATAGGGTTTGGCATATTAATGACAACTTGACTTAAATGAAAACCAGAATACAAAATATAAATAAAAATGAAATACCTCCTCACAAGACTGTATTTACAAAGCTGTTTCATTTATTGACTAGCTTGATTTCATAATGTCCTATAAAGTACAGACACATTATTCCTACTTAACATGTGAGGAAGATGCATTCTCTGAATACTTGCCTTGATCCAGGCATTGTGTCAGGCATGTTACAAATGGCCACTTCACCTTAATCTTGTGAATTAGAGCTGCTTGCTCTACTTTTGCTCAGAGATGTTAAGTAAATTGTTTGAAGTGACACAGCTAAAAGATCAGTAGAGCTGGGATTCAAACCCACTATTCTGACCTCAAGCCTGTGCTCTTTCTGTAGCACTACCCTGAAGGCTTCAAGGATGGATCGATTGCACTGAATCTAATTCTGTGTGATGTTAAGAGACCATGATGGCAAAAATTGTCCTTAAATCTTTATTTCTTCTAATACATGAAGCCTCTGTCACGTGTGAAGTCCCTCTGCAATTTTTTGTGTTCTTCTTGTGGATAAGTTTATAGCAGGATCTGGGACTTGTTCACATCAAGTAGCTTCTCGTTCAGCTGCCTGGAAGATGCCATTATGACATCTAGGGAAGTGCTCTGTACAATGAATGAACTTTTCCTAAATGGCAAGTCTGTCACCCCCTCCAGGGTAGAAGCTCTTCATACCCTCTACATTTACTATTTCTTGTGCAGCCTGGGGAGAAGGCTATCTCAAAACAAAGACTGTTTATGTAACTGTAATATGTACAACTTTGCACAGATTCTTAGTGGTAATTTCAACTAACGTTTCTATCCAACAGAATTTCAGTTCCTGCATTCAGCTTATGGTAGGAGAGCTATTTTCCTCATTGTATTACGGCCTATGAATGTGTTATCTTGTAACAATGGTAGATCCCTTCCTTTCCTCCCCAAATCCCATCCCCTAGGCTTGGGCTCCCCCCAGGTGGCTCAGCAGCAGTTCCTGAAGCATGCAGGAACATGTCTGATGGTGCAAAATCATGGGTTGGAGACACACAAACCATTTCCCTAGGGCAGCAATGAAGAATCATGGCACTGAAAAGCATCCCTCATCCTAACCTGGCTGGCAAATTCAAACAAATGAACAAAAATTCCAGGACCTGTATGTGGCTTCTCTGTTGGCTTTGTGGCAGCCTCTGTGAAGGATTCCCTGGATTATGCCTATACAACCAAAATACCAGTCTGCCCCAGGGTCAGATTTTTCATTTCCATTGTCAGTCTGACATGTTTGAAGACCTGGTTGACTTTACATATTGTCTGTTTTTTTACCCTGAACCTTGAACTCAGGACTCATTTTGGGGCGTTTTCTTGGATGGTGAAAAGTTGGGACCACCTGTGCCAACGAGTGAGGAATCAGAGCTGAGTTCTCAGGGCAGTGTGAGCTCCAGGCCCAAGGCACCACAGGAACTTCTGGGCACCTGTGAGGGTCCAGCAGTATAACCTGACTAAGTCCTTTTTGTCACAGACAGGAAGGGACCATTAGGGGAAACTCTTACCTGGGCTTCTCAGGTCAGTGTTTTTGTGAAATCTCTGCACAATTTGATTAGTTGGATGTCTGGAATTTAGTGTATATATATGTCGCGCATCTTTCAGAAAATGAGCTATGAAATTTCTTGCCACCGCTGTGGGCTGTGTGATCTCGGGCAATTTGCTAATATCTCTAGGTCTTCCTTGAAGTGTTGTATTCCATATGATCTCTGAGGTCTCTTTAAATGTTAAGTCCCCTTCTCTTAGAATTTTATTATTTCAACATTGCTATCTACACACGTGTTTTACTTATCACTTAACATACAAAGACAAAATCCCCACTCTCAAGGAGCTTCTAGTTTGTTAAGAAAACAGTCAAACCATCTAAATAGAGGGCCTTCTAAGGTTACTGGAACTGTCAGCTGTATGGGATGCAGTCATGGGTTGTGGTCAGAGGTAGGGAAAAAAAAGATTTCACAGTAGATGCCAATTTTCAGTTAGATTGACAGATGAATACACATTTACCAGGTAGAGTTAGAAGAGCTAATAATTCGGAACAAACCATGAGAATGTGCAGTTCCTTAGCATATTCTGGGAATGATAAGCAGATTGTGTGCTGTAGTGTGAGTTGTAGGGTGAAAATGACGGGTTTAGAGAGATCATCTAGACTAGATCATGGGGGTCTTTAGTGCTAACAAGAAATACAAACTGGAGTTTAACAAATTCTAGCCAGTGACGAGCCTTGCAATATTGTTAAGAAAGGGTATTTTGTGGTTAGATTTAGATTTTAGATCACTAACTTAGAGATTGAAAGGGACAGGTTTAATTAAAAACAAACAAAAAACTGGATGTGGTGGTGTGTGTCTCTAATCCCTGTACTCAGGGAGGTGGAGATAGGAGATTCATTTACAAGTTTGAGCCCACTCTGGGCAATTTAACAGGACTCTGTCTCAAAAATTTTTTTCAAAGTTTAAAAATAAGTAAAAGGAGCTGGAGATTTAGCTTGGCACAAAAGCCCTAGGTTCGATCTTTAGTAAAAAAAATAAATCTAAGTAGTTGGAGTAGCTTGGGTGAGTTATGGTGAGAGTTTCAGCTGGAGCTGTCCACAGCTGTAGAAGTGAAAGAGTAAACAATAGCCAGAAATAGAAATTATAAGATTGGTGATGATTGATTGATTGATTGATTGACATAGGGGATTGACCTCAAACATGTGAGGCAAGCACTGTACCAGTAAGCCACACCCCCCGCCCTTTCCCCCTCCACTTCTCTTCTTCCTCCTCATTCAAGACAGGGTTTCACTAAGTTGCCCTGGAACTTGAGATTTTTCTGCCTCAGTCACCCAAGAAATTGGGATTATAGATTGCATCACTGTACCCACTGAAACTTTATTTTTTATTTTCATATCAATAATACAAAACAAAAGTTTATTATTGTCTTTTTATGCAACAGTAATACTGAACTAAGATTAAGTGACTTGCCCAAGATCCCACAACTAGCTATTATGTAGCAGAGCCCAGGCTAGATGTCAGATTTCCTGACTTAGTATGTTGTTCAGGATGATGGTCCCTTGCTGCCTGTCCTCTTTGCAAGTGTGCTTAACAGGTTGTTCGAGTGTCAGAGAGCGTGAGGGTCCCAGAGAGTGTGAGTGTGAGGGAAGTGAATGACCCAGCACCTGGATGTGGGTAACCTGCTGTGACTGGGCCTATGGCCCTTTGCTGCCAAGAGTTCTTTCTTTTTCTCTGTCTTTTTACTTGAAGGATAACCCATATACAGTAAAGTACATGATGTATACTGGTCTTAAATGTACATCTTAATAACAGTTTCACATATGTTACACCTGTACTTTACTGTCAGTTCAAAATAAAAAGCATTTTTATGAAGTGGTTTCTTTCTGGCACCGCAGAACTGGCTGCCTGTTACAGAGTACCCTCTTTCATCACCGTGCCTCTAAAAGCTTCAGTTGTGTCTTTGGCCAACAACTGAGCTTTCATCACTACCACCAGCAGTGATGGGTTACTTTGAAATTGTATATGGAGGAGCAGTCTCATATGGTAGGCTAATTAATGAGGTCAGTTTGACAGCTCAAATTGGTTTTTTGTTTTTAGTTTTCACATTTCTCCAATTATTTAAATTACTAGTGTCTCAAATATACAGAAAAGGTATAGAAAATACGATTTGTTCTTTCAAACTGAAAGAAAGTATTTCTTTATTCAGTAAAATACATAGTTTAATTTATGTGGTCACATAGGAAAGAAAATCAAAGGCACAGTCACAGTTGCTTTTTTTCTGGTTAATGTGCAACATTCTTATACCCTGTATCATGCTGTCTTGTTCACTCCCTGGCTAGTGTGTGCCATGTTGCATCCTCAGTTAGACCATAAAAACCATGTGTGTGGTGACTGTGACCCATGTGTATTCCTGTCCACTGTGGCGCTCCCCTCAGTGCTGAGTAGTTAGGCCTCAATCGTTTTGGTTAATTTTGCTTTACTTTAATTGTCACACAGTCCTTCAGGCGAATGTCAGACTTTTGGCTTATGATGAAAATTATGGTAAAGTATATGCCACTTGGAAGAAAAAACTGGAATGAATCAGAACCTCTAAATTCTCCAAACTCCTACAGCAAATTCAGTCCTCATGCTCCCTGGTGGAATTTCAATGAGGTCTTATGGGCATGGGCTTGCTCCATCGGACTTCTTAGAGCCACATGTTTAACTTTTTAGGTAGTTTTCCAGCCACATGGAGTGTCAAGTTCTAAATTTGGAGACAAGATATCTTAATAAGATCTTGCAGCATTGATTGGATATTTTATCAATCTACTTCATACCAGCACTGTGCCTCCTAGAAAAGAAGCTCAAGATGATTGTTAAAAATGGGCTCTCCTACAGTGTCTGCAGAGCCATGTCTGGATTCCATCAAAGGCCTACACTCTGAATGGGGTTCTGTAGGACCTCCATTTCCCTTGCCAGAATTCTCCTTTTAGTGTTACTTTCCTGCCCATGATTTTCTTTTCATTCCTTAGCATCTGCTGTATATATTGCGGGCCATTAATGCAAGCACAGTCAGCCTGTGACAGCTGCACTTCTAGCCTTGGTTCAGCAAAAACAGCAGAGTCCTTCACCTTCTCTAGCCCAAAACTTCTGTGATTGAAGGGACAGAGACCTTAGCTGCTATCCCGGCAGGCAGCAGGGGTTATGGAATCTCTCTGGAGGTGGAATATCCTAGTTGAATTAGACAGCATATAGGCATGCTTCCTTCTTATTCTGCCCTGTCTTACCTTGCTCTTGCTAAAATATTTCAGGTACATCTACTCCCCACCCCACCTCCTGTAAATAGACCTTAAAATAATCCATATCTGAGACTCCTAAGACCTTCTTTGAGTAAAAATGTATTACTAAAACCATTCTTTTTACCATAAGTAGAAATTTGGGTCAAGAATGCTTTTCCTGTGTTTGAAAGTAGAGTAAAAAGTTAGACATTTCTACCCTTTAGAGCTATTTCCTTTCTCCCTCCCCTTAGGATACCATAAGGTAAGTTTCTTGAGTGGCTTTCTCTTCTAGAACATATGAAGTGTCATCTTTCAAATTTCCCAAGCTGAGCTTGAATCACAATCAGTCTGGGAAGTCTCTGTAGATCTTAGACTGGGCCTCATCTCTATTTTACATCTACCTGAAGTTTAACATTTACTTTCATACTGGCCCAAAGGATCACCTCTAATTCATGAAGGGGTATCCCAACTGGTTTACCCAGTAGCACCCCAGCAGGAGATACTCAGGGGTATATGATATATGTCCAATACCTTGGCCCGGTGTCCAGGAGAAGAAATGAGTAAGGTGTGCCTGCTAGATAACTCAGAGTGCAGGCACAGTATCCTGTGCCTTTTAACTGCTGCAGCCATTGGTTTGACTCTGTAGAGGAGATAATATTGTAGCAAAGTTTGTGTACTGTAGTGACTATAATGTTTATTTGAAAGCAGCGTATTAAATAGACCTCCACACAGTAGTCAGGCCCCCCTCCCCCGCATCCCTCAAAAAAAGGATGAGGAGTGGCTTAGCTGATTTGACCCAATACATAGTCAAAGACTCCCAGGTCGCTCTTGAGTTAATAAAAATGTAGCCAAGGAATATACCAGAGCCTTTGGCAGAAAGTTAGGTAGAAAGAGACAGTAGCAAGTGGAATATCCTGATTCTCTTCATATAAATGCAGATTTTATTGGTTTCAAAATCATTTGAGAATTCAGTTTAGTGCTCCTCCCAACCTATTCACGTATTTTAGAAAGGCTGAATCATTCTGTGTGTCTGAACAAGCCCCTTGGTTATATGTTTCTGTCCAGCACAAGACCCTTGCTTTGTGTCTATGATTGGTGGTGCCTACTTCTTAATTCTGCCTAATGCCATTCTCATGTCTTCCCTTAAGCCACCCTGCTGATGAAACAGGCCTGGCCACAGAACTCGTCTTCCTGTGGCACTGAAGGCACCTTCCACCTCCCAGTGGACACCGGGACCGAGAACCGAACTTACCAAGCATCCTCTGCGGCTTTCAGTAAATACAGCCTGTTTCTTCCTGTCTTGTTCCCCTTAGTTGGGACTGATTTGTTTCTTAGAAAGGAAAGGGATTTTTTAAAAATGACATTTATAATATAAATACTGTTTTAAGAGATTCCTCTACCCATGTTAAAATTGGCCTTGCTTATTCAGGAAAGATCATCCTCTTTGATCATGTACTCAACTTTGGGAAGATATAGTAGTGAGGGAGGGATAAGGAAGTATTCACCTAGCCAAGAAATTTGATTAGGAAGAGACTGCTACTGCATTTCCTGGGAAAGGACAGAAGACTCTCCCCTAAAACAAAATTTCTTAACCTCGTCCCTGTTGACTTTTGTAGTGGAGGAGTGGCCTGTGCATTATAGAGTGTTGAGTCATGTCCCTGCTGTACCTGCTAGATGCCAGTAGCCAGGTGTCATTATGACAACCAAAAGTGTCTCAAAACCTGGCAAAATACTTTCTGGAGAGCAAAACAGTATGCGCCCATATTCAAACAAACAAACAGCACTGCCCTAGTCTACACTATGGAGCACGATGCCAGCTTGCCAGTGAGATTAGTCCTGTTTCTCTTCAGTGGGGTAACTGATGTTATCACCTTCCCGCCTATTTTTAATTTTTTTGTTTTTCTCCACTACCAGCAATTGTTGAATCCAGGACCTCATACATGCTAGGCAAGCCCTTTACCGCTAAGCTGCAGCCCCAGTCCTTTATTTTTATTTTATTTTATGTCTTTTTGAGACAGGTTTTTGCTGTGCAATTCAGGCTGGCCTGAAACGCGTAACAATCTTCCTGTCTCAGCCACCACACCTGGCTGAAATTTATTATGAGACAAGGTCTCACTAAGTTGCCTTCCTGGCTTCAAATCTGTGATCTTTCTACCATGGCCTTCCAAGTAACTAAGATTATAGGCATACACCATCTGGTTATACTGTTTGTTTGTGACAGGGTCTTATATGTAGCCCAAGCTGTCCTCGAACTTGTGGCAGTTCTTCTGCCTCAGCTTTCCCAGTGCTAGAATTACAGGCATGTACCACTATACCCACCCTGTCATTTCTGACTTTGTTTTTTTTTTCATATCTGACTTTTAACCACCCTGGGCTACAAAGTGAGCTAAAGGCTAACCTGAACTGTACAGCAAGACCCTGTCTCAAAACAACAACAGCAAAAAAAAATTCATTGAATGTCATTTAAACTCCGTATAAGGAAAAACTTGCCTTGCTATCTTTAAAGTGGTGCCACCAGGGCCTGGACAAGCTCTCAGCAGGGTATTATAGTGGATTATTAGTCTACTAAGTAAGTAGACTAGACAAACCCATTGTATTTTTCTTATTTAAAAAAGTATGCAGTGTCATTTGTTTCCTTGTTATTATTATCTCCAGATATTACAATCAGCTTATATAACATTGTTCACTTTCTAGGGAAAATGCTTTCATAATCATCTTAACACTGTAGCTCTATAAGGTTATTTTGGGTAGGTTTTTCTCCCAGTTGAAAGTTAAGAAAAAGGTAATGTGTACAGTGCTGCCCAACTAGTAAACAGGACTAGAAAATGATGACTTCCAGGTTAAGACTATTACTGGCTTTTCTGATGAGGTTGATTTTACTCTATAAGAGGATGATAGTCCTTAGAGAGTCTGTCTGTCTGTCTGATGGTCTGTCTTTCTGTCTGTCTGTCTGTCTTCCTTCCTTTCGTCCTTCCTTGAGAGTTTTACCAGATAACTTGAGGTAGAAATCAGTGAACATATGTAAGACTACATATATAAATTGACAAACATATTTTCTTGGACATTTGCACATATGGATAGAGGTATGTAAAGGCACAGCAACTGTAGCAAAAGAAGCCCACAGTGTTGAATTCTAGCCTTGGGTTCTATGTAACATTGGATAATTTGTGTCCATGCTTTGGACCTTTTGAATTATACATTGAGAGACCCCTCTTTTTTTTTTTTTTTTTTTTTGAGACAGAGTCTTGCTGTGTATTTCAGGCTGGCCTTAAACTCACAGTAACCCTCGTGCCTCAACCTCTTGAGTGCTGGGATTACAGGAGTACACCACCATGCCTGATGAGACCTCCTCTCTTGCAGCCCTAACCAGTGGCCTTTGAGCCTTGGCTCACATATCTCCAGGGACATTGCTTATTCCCTCCGAAGGCAGCCCTTTTTGCAGGTAGGCAGTCTTAGTAGCAGAAGGCCTTACCTTTTATTATGTTAAAATCTTCCTGAAGTCCCATTGCAATGTTCAGTAGCACCAGGCAAAGTGGCTCATACCAGTAATCCTAGCTACATGGGAGGCTGAGGCAGGAAGAACACAAATTGAAGGGTAGCCTGGGTAATTTAGTGAGACCTTGTCTCAGAATAAAATTCAAAAGGACTGAAGATGTACCTCAGTGGTAGAGCAAGTTCCTGAATTCAATTCTGAGCGCTGAAAAACAGTAGCTACATCCTACTGTCTCTTCCCAAATAGGCTGTTATGGTCCCTGGAAAGGACCAAAATGAATCCCTGTCTTTTAAGCAAGGAATATATATAATCATGTGATTTTTTTTTTAAATGGAGTTAGGACTCTCACTCACAGGGCTCCTCTTAGTATTCAGATTTTGTTGCTTTTAGTGCCCACAGAAAATTAGGTCTCCCTCTTGTATTCTCTTGTGTGACTACCAACAAGCAGAATTAAGGGTCAAGGCAAGATTTACACATAAAGCTTTGTTTTGTCCAGACATATAATTCTGATACCCAATAAACCAATTAGTCTAAAAGGTATATGTGATGTGAGGGTCAATGCCTTTAAGGTGGTGCAGCTCTACAACTCAAAAGGATTTATGACAGTGAAGAAGGATTGAAGAGAGGGCTGCAAAGCTTTTGTCCTGTTAATATATATACTCTCTTTATTATCCTGTTTGATGGAGTCTGAAATTATGGTTAGGGACCTGAGACAAACAGACATCATAAACAAAGCCTCTGTTATAAGGCAGCACTGACTTTGAGGTACTGCATTCTATTCTTCTCTCATGATGTTGCCTTAGTGAAATTGGGACACAATGGCCAATATACCAAATGCCTAAGATGGGACTGTGAGACTTTTAACTCAGAAAGAGCTCTGCCCAGGGCATAGTAAACCCTGGACTCTGGGCTTGGCTCTCTGATTTGCTGTACAATTTTGGGGAAATCGCTGCCCTCCTGAGCTCTAGGTTCTTCCTCTGAAAGAGAAAGGATTGCATGGAAGCCACTGATATGCTTAAGACATAGCATTCCAAAGTCCTACTTGATCCTCAGATGTAGAATTATTTCCAGGGTAACTAGCCTCCAGTAAGTGAAGTGAGTCTTAAGATTATTTGAGTAAAAATCACTAGTGTTTTTTTTTTTTTTTTTTTTTAACAAGTCAAGGCATAGTGGCATACCCCTGTAATCCTAGCACTTGGTAGGGTTGCGGCAGGAGGATGACCACACATGAGGCCAGCCTAGGCTACTTATGAATTTAAGTCCAGTCTGAACTCTGTATTGAAAGACTATCTCTTTAAAAAAAAAAAGCTCAAGAGCTTCCTATATACTTAGATGCACACAGTTAAAAGCCTTAAAAAAAAATGGGGCTGGGGATTTAGTTCAGCGGCATAAGCGCCTGCTTTGCAAGTGCATGGTCATGAGTTTGATCTCTGGTACCTATTAAAAAAAAAAAAAAAGCCTTGACTTTTCTGATACCCAAGGTTGTCCAGGCCATAGCCCCAGGGAAATTGTCAGTGTTCCCCAAGGGGATGGACAGGACCTTTGGTCGATGGTGGAAAGTCTTCTGCAGTGGTGTTCTCAAAATTCTGCTGGGATACTTAGAATTCCTACTCAGAAATTCAGAATGCCAGCCTCTGAAATTGTCTACTATAAATGAGGATATTCCTGAGAGCGAGGAAGTGAGTGACTCTGAAGCAACCCAGGGCCAGGGCCCAGCAATTTCTGCAGCCTCATGTGAGATCCTCTGGACAAATGGCAGCTTGAGGACCATTGCTGCTAATCTCTCCACATCTATCCCTTCCTTCATCTATGAGTGCTTTTGTTGCCTTGGAGAATACCAGGAGCCTTTCTCCTTCTGTAGTTGTGCTTCTCCTATCCCAAACTGTCATATATGTCATAGACAGATGATCAAGCGAGGCTGCCTTCTACAGCATCATCTCTTTTGCTGCCAAAGATGTTTGGGCTGCTAATTTGTATTCTGAGTGTGAGTGTGTGTGTGTGTGTGTGTGTGTGTTTCATAACATGCAGAGAGAGAAACATTCTCAGACAAGGTTATTCTTAGATAAAGAAACCAAAATCTACTGGAGTCTTTTGGAGCCTTTTGATTTCCCTCAGAGAAGCAGTCCCCAACCCTTTGTAATGGTTGTCCTTAGGACCATAGAGAGGGTGGTGCACCTTCCCTGGACAGGATAAAAATTTCAGAACACATTGTCTAGGAGAATGAAGGAAAGTCACCAGCATTGGTGACTTGTTAACTTTAAAGAATCATAAAACCAAGGGCTGGAGATTTAGCTCAGCGGCATAAGTGCCTGCCTTGCAAGCAGGCAGTTGTGAGTCCGATCCCTGGTACCGATAAAAACGAAAAAGACAAAAAAAAAAAAGAATCATAAAACCATAGCACTTTAACCATAGCATTGTAGAATCTCAGCTGGGCGTGGTGGCACATACCTATAATTCCATCATTCTGGGAAAATAAAGCAGGAGGATTGCAAATTCGAGCCCAACAATTGAGCAATTTGGTGACTTAACAAGACTCTGTGTCAAAAAAAAAAAAAAAAAAAAAAAAAAAAAAAAAAAAAACCACTGAAAAAAGAGTGCTGTAATCCCAGCAGTCTGAGGCAAGAAGATCACTGAGATTAGTCTGGGCTACCTGGTGAGTTCAAAGCTAGCCTAAACTACACAGCAAGACCCTATCTCAAACAGATGAGGGACTGGGAATGTATGAAGGCCTTGATTCAACCTAGTAGTTTGTTTATTTATTTATTAATGGTTTTGGAGACAGGGTCTTACTATGTAGTTCAGGCTGGCCTTGAACTCATGACAATCCTCCTGCCTCAGCCTTCCAAGTCCTGGGATTACAGGCATGTGCCACCAAGCTTAGTTTAATAGTGTTTTTTTAAAAAAATTAGAATTTTTTAGGGGCCAGGGGTTTAGTTCAGTAGTTGCACATAGTACGTGCAAATTCATGAGTTCAGTCCCTGCTACCAAAAAAATAAAAAAAGGAATTTATATTCCTGTGGTCTGTATTAGATATTGGAACAGCCCATAACATTAGTTTTATTTCCTGTCTCTTACACTCTTTCAGACCAGCCTCTGCTTAGATATCCCTACGAGGGAAGCTTGCTTGCTATCTCTCAGTGAAAGAGAGAAAATAAGAATAATAATAGTTAACCTATATGAAGCTTATGCTACGTGGGGCACTTTGCATTTATTTAATGTATTTATCACAAAAACCCACAATCTCATTTTACAGGCGAGGAGACAGTGTACTCCACAGTTAGTAAGTAAGCTGAAGTTTGGACCTGGGCTGTCAGTCTGTCTTCAGATTGCATCATCACTACTCTGTACTGTAGCACTTTCAGAGAGAAGCATCGTTCATTTCCAAATAGCTTCTCCACACTTTTTTGCTGGTTTTTTTTTTTTTTTTTTTTTGTCCTGTTTGGTTTTGTTTTGTTTTGCTGCCCTGGGGATTGAACTCAGGGCCTTGCATACACCTAGAGAAGCACTCTGACACTGAGCTGCATCCCACAACCCTCTCATACCTTCTTTTAGTCCTTTAAATCAGGGGCCAGCAAATTTTCCCGTAAAGGGTTAGATTATAGGCCCTTCCGGTTTGGGAGTGGCATATGGTTTCCATGACTACATTGGAAGAGGAAAGTAGTTATTCCATAGTAAGTGTGTTACAACAAAGCTGTATTTACCAAAAGAAGCTGCAATTACACAAAACCATAGGCCTGTCTTAACTGTTAATAGTGTGAATAAAAGAGGCTATGATAAAATAAATCTGGGAAATATGATCTCCTACATATCCATAGCTTAGAGATTCACCATTCACTTTGTATTTTAAGGACTCTCCGGATCATATAATTATAAAAGACCAAATCTGTTTGTCTTTATTTTACGTTTCTACTTAACAAACTTAGAGAACCTTAGAACTTTCCTCCTGTCCCTTCTCCTTCCACAACAACTTGTAAGATTCTTGGAATTGACCCTCTGCTGTTCACTCTAAGTCATGCCCTTCTTGGGAACCTCCTTTATTATTTAGAAAAGTATAGTGGGTCCCCAACGGGAAGTATCCATCAGATGGCCTCTCCTAGGCATCTGCAAACCTAGACACTGTCCCTGCCCCCCGTACCTGCTTTTCTGCCTGTGACCATACTTCCTGAGTAGCTCTGCAATTTAGAAGCTGTGAGGAATCTGTTGTAGCCTCTGCTTCCATTGACTTGCACTCCCACTTCCAGTGAATTTCTACATCTTATCAATCAATTCTGTCCTCTCTTCAATGTATCTTTTCCACTTCATCCTCATTTCAACTTATTTCTAAAACAGATTTGGCCACAAAACCAGTTTTTTTTTTTTCTTTTTTTTTTTGTCTTTTTCATTTTTATCGGTACCGGGGATTGAACTCACGACCGCCTGCTTGCAAGGCAGGTGCTTACGTCGCTGAGCTAAATCTCTAGCCCCTACAAAACCAGTTTTTTATAGAGGCAGTTATAAATTTGTAAGTGGGAGAGGACAGCGCACCTTTGTGGTGACAGAACAGCAGGTGTCACATCTTCCCAAGTCACTGAGGCCTGGGGTGTTATACCAGAGCTGTGGTGTAAACTGGGATTTGTGCCCATGTGGTAGCTTGCTTATTACTTGGAGTGAGGATAGACCCAGCATCTTCAAAGGCATAGGATTTTAATTAGGAAGGGGTCTTTGTTTTTTAGCCTCCTATTTTACAGAATAAGAAATTCTGTTTTATAGAATAAGAAATTGGTGGTCATCATCAAATTAAGGGGAAAGCTAGATTGAAGCCTGGATCTCTTGTTTTCCAGTAAAACTCTTCTGCACTCTGCAGCCTATTCCCTTCTTGCAGAAACAGCTCCTTGCAGCTGAAAAGGTCCTTGGTGAGCATCTTGTGAGCAGGGAGGTTCAGCAACAGCAGCCAGCCCCACCAAGGATGGGACCACAGGGAAGAATACCCCCTAGCTCCTCTACACTAGGGCTTCAGTGCTGAGGTCCCTGACACTGTCCCTTCACCTCAAGAGTTGAGGGTCTTTAGAAGTTCATAAAATAATTTGTCCTGTTCAAGCTTCAGCTTACATAAGTGAGAAAACTGAAACCATTTAATGATTATCTAATACCATACAATAATTCCATCTGGGGACGGTGTAAGGATAGTCTTATTCATGAGTGACTTGTGATTCAAGTTCTTTCTGAAAACATAAGGTCTGATTTTTTCCCCCCAGAGGACTCAAAGGTAGTACAATTTGTTTGCATTTGTGAGCTTCTGAGGTCCTGACCTCTCAGCCCCAGCTTTTGTCCATGCTTCTGACAAATTTTGTCCATGCAAACATAGCCTGAATTCCATGACAGTGTGAATCTTTGTGATCTCTGATGTCAGGCCTTTCAGACAGACCCCCCTCCAAGACCCAGAAGAGGAAAAGCCACCTATATGTATTTTAGTATCCCAAAAGATGAGGATCTCTGAATGGTATTTTATATGGTCTTTTCCCCTTCATATTCAGTAGGCAGGAGCCAAATGTGCTCAAGGGAAGTCCCTAAAAGAAGAAAAATATAAGGGGGAACATGTAGGGGGAGGCTGGGGATTTAGCTCAGCAGTGTAAGCACTTGCCTATCAAGCACAGGGTCATGAATTCAATCTCCGGCACCCTCCAAAAAAAAGAGGGGGGAAACAAGGCAGAGAAATCCATGACCAGCAGCAGAAAATACTGTGGGGTGCTGAGTGAGGGAGGAGTCAGAAAAATCAAGATGGTAACAGCAAGAAATAGAGAGCAGATTAAGGGATCCATCTGTGTGCATCTCCCTTTCTCGTAGACAGCCCAGAACCCCAGGTTATCAGAGCTGAGAAGGTCCCAGAAGAGACTATCTGGTTCCAGCCTCTTATTGTATAGTTGAGAGCCCTGAAACCTAGAGAAACAAAAGATGCCCAGAATCACAGATGCAGTCCTGCGCACCAGGATTGAAGGAGCTACCTCTGGGGCCAGGGCCATCTGGGTAGAGCCCTGTCCTCTTGTTTGTCCTCAGCTGTGTTTCCAGCCTTGATTCAGCCTATCTTTGGGGAGTTGTGACCCTGCTGCCTTCCAGCAATGCTGTTCTGCCAAGTAACGGGAGATCTCTCTTATTGCCTTGACATAGGATATACTGCGGGGACACCATACAAGGTCCCACCAACCCAGAGTAATACTGCTCCACCCCCTTACTCCCCGTCACCAAACCCCTATCAGACGGCCATGTATCCAATCAGAAGTGCCTACCCCCAGCAGAACCTGTATGCACAGGTAGGTACAAATGGAGACCTGGCCTGTGTCTTCACAGGTAGAGGCCTGGGTGTGGTGGGTGGAGTGGGGCAGGTTCTAGAAGAGGAGAATTTCTGGGTCTCTCCAGCTCACTGGAGAATCATTGATACAATATTCCTGCAGCCTGCTCATGTCAGTCCCAGAAAGGTAAGCATAAAATCATTAAGATTAACAGGGACTGGGGGCTGGGGATTTAGCTCAGCGGCATAAGCGCCTGCCTTGAAAGCAGGCAGTTGTGAGTTCGATCCTGGTACCGGTAAAAACGAAAAAGCAAAAAAAAAAAAAAAACGGGACCAGAATATCAGAGGTGTGGGCCCTTAGGGACTATCCAGCTCAATTCCTTTGTTAAACACACAGGGAAGCAGAGATGCAGAGAAGGGAAAGACTTGTCTGAGGTCACACTGTGAGCTAGCTATTGGGTGCCTTAGAATGGGACGCTCACATATAGTATCTTGGTCTTCTCTCTTTACTCCCACTCTACTCTTCCTTGGTAAACTCTTTAAGTCAGGAAGGAGAGTAGTGCCTAGGCTCTGCTATTGGTGCCTTTGGTGACTTTAGGCGAGTTACTTTCTCTGTGCCTTTGTGCCCCAATCTGGACTCCCTCAGCTGAAATAACACGTTGTCCTGGCATGAGAGTTCTACATGAGGTATAAGTGGCAAGAGTACATTTTTAATCTAAAAAACAAAGGAAAATTGACTTAAGATCAATGTGGTAAGCTGCTTTGGATAGTAACTCTCATGTTACAGTGAGACTCTTCTCATTGTTCAGTGGAAACTCTGAGAATTTCTGGATTAACATGATCCGAGAGGCATCTTTATACCCTTCCCAGGGGTCAGCAGCCCACTGGGCCGTGGTGGCAGGAAACAACCAGGTGATCTGGGCAGACCATTTTCTCCATGCCTAAGGAGAAATAGTAATAGTAAGAGACATCTTGGGAAGTGCTATCCATTGGTTTTCTGGTTTGTAAATTGGCAGTACTGGCCCCAGTGTAACAATAACACTAACTTTTCTGCATGTGTGCCTGGTAGTCTTGGGTTCCCCAGCCCCATTCTTGTGCTTAGAAACCGATTGAATGGGAGCTGGGGGTTTACCTCAGCAGCTTAAGTGCCTACTTGGCAAACACGAGGTCGTGAGTTCAGTCCCTGGCACCGGAAAAAAAAAAAGAAACCGATTGACTGTACTCTTTGCCTTTACATTTTAGGCAGCTATATGAGAACATTGCCATAAAATTTAAATGGTAACATGCTAACACTAAAGTTAAAAGAGCAGGGCTGTTGTCCCATGGGGTAATCATAGCAGCCCTGGCGCAGAGCAGGATAGGGGAATGGCCAGCATTGAACAGAGCAGTCATAGAGTAAGGCAAAGCAGAGCTGCAGCTGGGACCTTGACTTGTGTCTCTGAACAGTGGCTCTCTCACCCCATTTCTTAGGGCCTGGGAAAAACAGAGACCCCACCCTCAGCCCTGCCACCTCTCCAAGAGCCCATGTGACCCCTGCTTCTTTCCTCCAGGGAGCCTACTACACACAGCCGGTGTACGCTGCTCAGCCCCATGTCATCCATCACACCACGGTTGTCCAGCCCAACAGCATTCCCTCTGCCATCTATCCGGCTCCTGTTGCTGCCCCTAGGACCAACGGTGTGGCCATGGGGATGGTCGCAGGCACCACCATGGCAATGTCAGCAGGTGAGGGCAGTCTCCTGTTTTACAGCATCCATCCCTCTCCAGGGACTCTCGACCAAGCAGAGAAGTTCACAGAACTGACTGCAGCATAGCATGAGAAATCCTGTACTGGGACCCCAGAGGAAGGACCCCTCTAAATTTGTGGCAGGGATGAGGACAATTTCACCAAGAAGGGCACATTGAAGTAGGCCTTTCAGGGTAAGCAGAGGCTAAGCAGAAACATGAAAGAGGAACAGACAGCAGGCAGAAAGACTGATGGTGGAACATTCATAGCGTGGAGGTGGCCTGGCTCTGGGACAGGATGGAAAGGCAGTGAGTGTACAGTCAGCAAGGATAAGACAGTGAGTCGTGAACAGCTGTAGATAAAGGAGCTAGCAAAGGACTTTACACTGGGGGAGGAAAGGGTCGTGTTTGACATTCTCTCTGGCTGCAAGCTGGTGGCAGGATCAGAAGAGGAGAGGCTGAAAGCAATAGGCAAGTGAGGAGGCTGCGAGGAGAGTTTGAGGGAAAGATGGTGACACTAGGGCCCGTGAGGGACCCAGAAAAAGAAGGTATAGGAGCAGGGTTATTTAGAGCAGTAGCAAAGGGCCCGTCTCATGATGAATTATAAAAGGTGAAAGAATCAGAAGTCCTTTAACACCCTTTCTCCATTAAAGGTTTAAGTCAGAAATCAGACCAGAGCACCACCCTTAAGGAACTGTGAGGGGGAGGATGGAGGGTACAGCTTCAGGAAGGTCTTTGGATGAGTTAACATCTAGGGAGAAATACAGGCATTCCCATGATGGATGAGAGAAGACCAGGAGATGTAGCCAAGTCTTAATTAACCCCTGAAATCGCCACTTGAGAGAAGAGACTGCCAGAAGCCAAGTGGGCATTTGCATTTTATCCTGCCCCTTACCTTTGCAAGCTTCTGGGTACCTTCCCTTCGCTGGCCAAGTTGCGCAGGGACCAGGCACCATGAGTCAGACCAGAGTCCTGCCCTTAAGGAGCGCAGAAGTTCTGTGGGAGATACAACCACAGACACCAGCTTACTGCTTAGTGTGTGCACAGTAAGTGAAGCTACAGAGAAAAGGGGACTTTGAAAAGGTAGTGCCTGAGTCTATCCTGTAGCAGCTGCAAAGGTGTCCCCTAAGGGGATGAAGGCTGGCAAAGTAGGGACTGGAGAGTGATTCATCAAGGAGAGGATAGCAGCCATGCAAAAGACCATTCTCTTCATCCCTGGTGCAGCCTTGTCAAGTTGCCTTTCCTCTCTGGATACTCAGGTACCCTGCTGACTACACCCCAGCACACCGCCATTGGGGCACACCCTGTCTCCATGCCAACATACAGGGCCCAAGGAACCCCTGCGTACAGCTACGTGCCCCCGCACTGGTAAAACCTACAGCCCATCCAAGTGAGTGGGACTAAGATGGGAGAGATGGGAAGGTGGGGACATACAGGACCACCTCAGAGCCCCCAACTAGAATCCAGGGCACAAATATCACAGGGGCAGAGTTACCAGCTGCTTCCCTGCTGTAAGGTCTTTGGATGAGTTGATTTCTAGCAAGAAATGCAGTCATCCCCATGACCGGAAGGCTCGACTAGCTTGTGGAGCCCCAGAATTTTAGAAACCCTATAATAATCACTCAACATAATGAATCATGACACAGGCAGGAACTGCACGAGTCCAAGGATGTTACTAAATTCTTTTCTGTGGCAGGATCTCCCCTGCCCTACTCCAAGGGCTTTTGGCACTAGAACACAACTTCACAAGTGGGGACTAGGAGGGCACAGTTGAAGGGAAGAGGTCCAGAGGCTTCTGAAGGTGGCCTATGTGCTATCACTGTCACTAACGGTTCCCTTTCTCTCCAGATCTGGAGTCACATATTGTATGCAACTACTCAAGTCTTACACCGGTGCTGGAGCAGCTCCGTAGCAGCACCACCTCTATTTGCAAGAAGAGACAACGGAAGTGCAAGGGTCACTTTATGCATCGTTAATGGTTTTGGTTTTTATTTTTGGTTTTTGTAAAAGCTGCTTTTTCTAATCTCCCGCCTCTTCCCCCTTGTCCTCTTAGCTGCTTTCCTTCCAGCTCTACCCCTTCTCCTACCTGACCAGGCCATGTCGCCTCTGCACTTCCTTTCTTCCTCAAGTGTCCTGTCCTCAGGATCTCAGTCTAGTGGCAAGCAGAGAGTGGGTTTGTTGCAGTGGTTCAACTGAAGGCCAGGCTGCACTGGAAAACCATAAACTCATGTGACCCTCAGGTCTGGGGTAGGAACTCAGAGCTGTTAAACAGGCCACATCGCTGGGCAGTTATTCCTTTTCTGGTTTTTTTTCATCAAGATAGATAGTTCAGGACATTATCATGTGGCCTGACACAAATGAAATGATAAAATATCTTCTGAGAACCATCGCAGCAGACCACAAATCAAATCATCAGATTAGGGCTATATGGTACCCTAGGCTGAGAACCTGGACTCTTTGGGGGAAGGGTGGGGGCACTACGGGGAAGGAGAGCAAAGAAGGGAAAAGAGGTCCTTGCTCTGATGGCTTTGGTTTGAAAGGTCTGGCCATAATGTTTGGGCCCGAACCTTCTGATTTGCACAGTGATGTTAACTGCCCTGGCACTTCCTCAAAAGGTGATTGTGACCTCAGACCTGCCAAGCAGCTGCAGGGTAACAGGATCCCAGTGTCCCAAGGCCTTTGAAGGCCAAGTGCCCTGTATAATTCAGACCTCGGCCTCTGAGCCCTCTGAGCCCTCTGGACCCACTCTGATGAGGGGCTTCCTCCTGATTACAGTGGGACCTGTGACATTTCTCTCCTATCCCCTTCTGCCCTTCTCCCAGTGCCAGGGGTCACCCGTCTGTGTCTGTCTGTGGAGCTGACAGGCAGGCCACACTCTTGGTTACCTTGTGCCATTCATGGCCAAAGTGAAGGAACCACATTCCAGGTGGGTGCTGGCAGCTCTGAAGGTCAGGACAGTGAAGGAAAAGCAATAGCAATAAACATTTCATAGACTCATGGAACTGAAGGAACCTTAGCAATCATCTCATCCATTTCCCTGTTCGACACATGAGGAAACTGAGGCCGAGAGAAGAGGAAAATGCTTCCCTAGATCTCACAGTAAATTAGCATTAAATGCAGCCTTCCTACCTAGTGGCATGTCACCTCCAAAAATGTACCTAGGGATGGATTGGCTTGGGTTTATACAAATTAAGTCATCAGCGCCCACATCTGGTCAGTTCTGGAATGATCTCTGGTTCTTGTTTGTGAGTTTTTCCTCCTGGACTACAAAGGCGGTGGGAGTTGAAGATGGGGTAGAGGCCATATGGTGGCAGACGGCAGGAACAGATATTGCAAATGAAGAAATAGCATTTGGAAATTCTGTGAAGACATCTGGAACTTCACCCCATACCTGGCTCCACCCATAAGAAAAGGAACACGTGGGCTGGCTGAAAAGGAGAGGCCATGGTTTTAGGACAGTAGCCCCTCATCCTGAGAAGAGAAGAGAGTGGGAAGCATCAGGAGAGGAGCATGAGGGTGAGACCCAGCAGACACGGGCTCATCTTGGAGAAGTGGGACTCCTGGACAAGAAGGCCCTTGCTAGCCTCAGCCAGGACCCTGGATTACCCAGTACTGCCCTTCTGTACCCAGCATTTAACTGGGCCAGCAGCCCCTCTAGGGTAGGACAGGAACATTTTCCTATAAAAGACAGGATCACTGATGACATTTGGGACTTTTAAATAATGATTTTCATTTTAAATTCATGTAAACTTGGGGTATACCTTCCCCCTACCTCTTCCTAATTGAAGAAAGACGTCAGGAACCTTTGAACTGGAAGGACCTTGGAAGCTGTCTGGCTGTACCCAGGAGATCAGAGCCCACCAACATCCTTGGCCCAGAGTTGGGAGTTGGGGAGCCACCTTCTAGAAAACTTCAGAACCAGTAAGAGAAAACCTAGCTGTTTTGAGTGTCTTTTGGGGTGCCACTGAGGTTTCATTTTAAAATAATGAAGTTTGCCAGTGTTAATCGATTTATTTGCAAATACCTCTTCCCACTCTCTTTGATCTTGTAAAGGTGGGTGAAGGCTCTTCTAGATTATATCATATGTGCTTGAAGATGCCAAAATAATAATGGTGATAATAATAATAGGAAACTTTTACTTTTGTCAGGTGCTTCGTAGATTTCAAAGCACATCAGAGCCTTTAACTTCCTGGGCCTGAGAGGAGGGACATCATGTTATTTAATCTACTCATTTTGACCAATGAGAAAACAGGCTCTAGAAAGAAAGGGAATGGGCCCAAAGTGAGCTGAAGGCTGGACTCTTGACAGACTTCCAGGACCTGCTGCCTGTAGATGGGCTGGGTGGAACAAAAAGGACAAAAGGAAAACCTAGGAATGACCTCGTAACTGCTGTTCTTTCTATACCAGTAAGTAAAAACTAACATCGGTACCTCACAGTTCACGAAGCAGTTTAACATACATTACTGAAAAATGGAGATTATGCCTACCATTTGACCAGGAGGAAAGCCAAGGCTCAGAGAAGTGAAGTGACTTGCTCAGTAAACAACAGAGCCACTTGAGTCCCGGGCTGCATGCCTGCTCTTTCCCTCCAGCCTGAACCTGACACAGGCTCATGTCCTGAAGCATCTATGCCCCACACCACGTCTTAGCTCCTAGGCCTTCAAGATCAAAGGGAGGCCCCAGTAATGGTCACGCATCAGAGGCTGTGGTCTACAGCAGCCAAGTGTAGGACCACCTTTTCAGTGTGAGCACTGATGGCCTAGTTCAGCCTGCCTCAACCTCTTGTTCTGATGGAGACCCACAAGCCCAGCCAAGCTTGGGGAGTCACTACAAATGGACAAGCTCAGGAGAGCAGGGCAGCACGTACCCTGGCAGGTCACAGGGAGAAGATTCTGCTGGTATCATCCAGAGATTCTGGATGGCCCACTGATCCAGCTGGACAGAAGGTCAGAGCTGGAAAGACATGTCATTTTAGGAAGATAGGCTAATCAGAGAGGACAAAGCACTTGCTCGCTGTAGCACTAGCAGCTGCATACACATCCTTGTCCTTCCCATGCCCCTGCGTCATCTCCCCCGTCAACACCTTGGTGGCCAGGGCCCGGGATAAAAGTGGTTCCATGAACACCTCTTGGCTTCTCCCACTACTACTTGACTCTGTCTTCACCAGCCTGCAGCCCTGAAGTTTGGAAACTAGGTTGCTTCCAAATAGTGAAAGCCTGAAACATAATCTTGTGCCACACTTTGTAGAAACAAATTTACGAGGGATGGGTAGTCACTATTCTTTCTCATCCTCCTGGCAACCACCCTGGTGTGCATCTCCCTTCCTCAAGATATGCAGCAGGGCCATCTGTACCTGTCCAGAGCTTGTTTGGTATGCAAAATGGATGTTGATTGCCAAAATTTATAGATGAAAAAACTAATGCTCAGAGGGGTAAGAGATTTGACAGAGAACACAGATATAAAAAGAGCCATGATTTGAACCCTTAAATGCTGTACTCTTTCTGTTGCCACATGATAAGTCTCAAGCAGTTTGAAGAAAGGAAGGACTATCTGTCTGCCCCACACAAAAGGAGGCTTAATGGAGACCTGGGAAACTCAGTTCTCTCAGCTGAGCAGACTTTAAAGAACGTCTGCTTTGTTCTGGCATCTGTGATGTGCTCTGGGGATCCAGCTGTTAGCACAGAAAGCATGAGAATTTGAAACAGTGGCCTAATTTGAACTCAACACCTTGAGGTCGCAGTGCTCACTGTTGTCCTCTGGAAAGACCCAGGCATCTTTGGGATGCCTGGTACTCTGACTTTGTGATTCAAAGGCCTGGCTGCTGTTTAAATCCAGCAAGTTGGCATTTTAGAGGGACCTGACATAGTGGAGTCCCTTGGCTTACTTTTTCATGAGACACTAAATAAATGGGCTACATACTTCCTCATCCTTTCTCCTGGCTACCCAAAGTGTTCCAAATTGGCACTATAGTCCCAGATAGCTGAAGGTACTTCCTTGAAGGGCTTGCTTTGTTCTGAATAGCCTTCAGAAATGAATCGTATGAAGTATAAAAGTAGGACAAGGCCCTTGGTGCACCAAGTTCTGACATCCTCATTGTGTAAAAAGGCCATAGCAGTGAGGCACTAGCTAAACCAGGCTTGGGACCTTGCATATCAAATTCCTTTTGCTTTGTGGAGAGAGCAGACAGCTCCCACCCACTCGGGCCTTGGAGTCTTCGCACAACTGGCTGAACCATTCATCATCACTGTGGTGGGCTGCTTGGAATGCAGTATAATACAAGTGTGTGGAAGCTCTGCTTTTACCCACACCCACTTCACTCCTGGATGTGTGGCCCCTAGCTTCTTGGCAAATGAGAATCCAAATAGGGACAGCTGGGTAGTAGAGTGGGCAGGGGAACAAAAGGCACCTTGCTGGTGTCCAGGCCTTACCCACTTACCCACCTCTGAAAAGCAGATCACTAGAAGAATCCTAGCCAGGCTAAGTGGGTAGATTTTCTGCACCTGACCCTGTAAGCACTTGGGCCTCTGTGGACATGCCAGATCAGCTGTAGGCTTTGTCCTTTACCCATCCATGTCTCCCTCTCTTAGAAAGCTCTTTTGAAATTCAGCGTTATGTTGTTCCAAGACCCAGACTTCAGAAGTCCTGGCAGGCTAGCTTCAACATTCCATGTTCGACCTTGCCTGAGCCAGGCTAGGTCCCAGTTTAGCTTCTCCAGTATTTCTTGTCGTGCATGCTCTTGAGTCCAGCCCAGAGGCCAGCATAAGAACACGGGAGTGAGACTGGCCGTCACTAAATCAGAGAAGGACATAATAGCATTTGCGTCCTGTGGCTGCATCACCACTAGGTATCCTTGTCAGGAAGTGAGTTTCTACCCATTCCAGTGCTGTAGAAGGAAGATTTTCCTTCCTGAAGATGTAATCGCTTTGCAGATAAGTACCAGCCCATGAGTCAAATGAGTGAAATCAGCCTTGGGCCTGATACCCACAGGACCAGCATCTTTCAGGCTCTGGCCTTCCTCCTGATGCTTAAAAGTTAGCAAAAGAGTTGGACAGGTCGGTCAAATTGTCTAGGTCTGTGTTGTAACTCAAATTCCTCCTTACCCAGGAGGAGGTAAGGTTAGGTCTCCAGCATCTTGGAGTTGTCTGTGATGATCTTTATAGGCTTAGGGCCTATCTGTCCCCTTCCTGACTTCATCCCTCTTTCATATCACATGACGGAGAAACCTGTTCTCGTGGCATGTAACATCCCTGTGAAGAGAGCATTGTATATGATTTTGTATTTTTTAATTCATAACCTACAGGTTGGAATCTAATTTTTAAATTTATTGGAACTCACATTTTAAAAATAAAAACATTTAAAATAATAATAATAATAATAATAATAAACCTTTGACCAGTGTCTTCCAAGTAGTTTGATCAAAGAATTTAAGGTGTTTTCAAAACACAACCTGGAGTGTAAAGATTAGAAAGCCCCATGGCCTCACTTGTGTGTATGAAGTGTAAATCTGGTTTTGTTTTTTGTTGTTTTGGATTCTTTTGGGTTTTGTTTTGTTTTGTTTTATTTTGAAGATCAGATAGTGATCTCTATGAAAGACTGGAGCCAAGAGTTTGTAACTATGATATTTACTGTAAGCTGTAGAACATTCAATAACTATTAAAAAAGTTTCCCCAAAAAAAAAGTCCTAGGTGACCAGACTGAGTGGTTCTTGGGGGAGGAGGAATGAAAAGCACCTCCTGTGCCAGGGGCCCCTGGAGGTCTTGCCAGGTTGATTCTGAGTGTGTTTTGAACTGGTAAGAAATACCTGTAGTAGGCACAGTATGGCCTGCTGCCTTAGTTGACGGTGACTGTCACGTGGCTGCTCCAGCTGCGGGAATGGGAAGCCATTAAGGGCTACCACCTGTGAGGCTGAGGCATGTAGCTAAGCGTGTACTTAGCATGTGTGAGGCCCTGGGTTCAAAACAAACCAGAAAAATGGGGGCGGGGAGGCCCTGCCATCTACTGAAAACTACTTGCTTTGTTCTTGTTAACCCTGGTAACTGCTGTGCGGTAAGCCCTATCATTAGTCCCATCTTAAGGTGGGGCAGCTAAGAAGGCTGAGAACCTTGGCCAGACACACAGCTGGTAGGGGAGACACAAAGATAGGGGTGGGGGTGGAGCTTACACTTGGTCTGGATCCAGAACCCAGGCCCTGAGGCCTGAGTCCTCGCCTTCCAAGGAGGGGCGTTCTAAAGCATGGGTTTTCAAAGCCTTCGCCAGGGCTGGAATGGGTAGAAACTCACTCCACATTAAGCACACCGAGTGGCGATGCAGCCACAGGAAGCAGGTGCTGTTATGTCCTTGTCTGCGTTAGTGGCGGCCAGTCCCTTTGGCAGTGGGAGTCTAGGGGACTTGGTGGTTTGTAGTTTCTACAAGAGGACAGCAGAGAGAAGCCACAGGGCTCATACAAGCAGTTTTATCCCCTAAATATCTGGCTCTCTTGTAATCCCCTCGGAGTGGCGCCCTTGTCCGGGCCTCTCTGGGTCTCCAGCTTCCCTCCCCAGGGCCTGGCCCCCGCACTTCATGCTCTGCACACCCACACACCTCCTGCAGTCCAGCTCAGTCTGGCCTGGCTCTGGACCCCCACCACCACCACCTCTGCTCCCTCAGCTGTCACTTAGTGGCTCTTCAGCTTCTCCATGGGAGGGCCAACAGTGTTTACAGCTGTCACACTTTTCCCTCTTTAGACAATACAGCAAACACTACAGCTTTGACTTAACTAAAACCATCTATCTCTTCCAGAGCCTAAGGCCCCCTCCGCCAGGATCTGACAAAGCCAGGGCTCAGCGCAGGGCTGTCTCCCTCAAGCCACTTAGACCCCTACTCTCACGGCTCCTGGGAGACGACCCCGAGTGCACACCTGCCACATCACAGTGAGCCTCCTGGGCCCTCCCAGGCTCACAGCAGTATCTTTCCTGGCCACTGAGATGCACTCTTGCTTTTCTTTGGGCCTCATGGTCACTGCTTTCTCAAAGTGGGGTCTGTCCTAGGCCTCTCCCTGAGATGGGTTCCCCTCTGCCCAGGCCATCAGTGCCCACTTTAGTGCTGGTGGGCACTTTTATCACCCACTACGTCTGTGGAGAGTTCCTCTTTTCATCCCCAGATGCCCCAGAACATCCACCAGGGCTATCCAGTGCCCCTAGGACCGCTCATCATCTTGTGCCACCCAGCTGGCCCTGATCCCTTGGCTTATATTTCATGAAGGAGCCAAAGGCCTGGGCTTCCCTAGCATGTCTGCCCAAGGAATCTTTTGGATCTGTTTCTGATCACCAGCTGCCACAAGATGTCCTGCTCCACAGCTTCTGCTCTGCAGTGGCAGGAGGGAGCTGATGGGTTCCCTTCCTAACCACTTTAGGGTTCTTTGGCACAAAGCCTGTGTCACTACCTTTGATGTGACCTTTGCATATGCTGTCCCCGCTCCAGGGAATGTCTCCCCTTCCCACACACTCCAGCCCAGTGCCCCCCTCACCTCATCACCCAGGCTCAACACCATGCTGCTTCCTCTAGCCATTGCTGTAGGGTCCATTACAACACCACTTGGAGCTGTAAGCTAGATGTAACCTTGGGTTAAGTTAGATTGTTTCCAGATGTGAACACAGCCAGGCCTGGTGGTGCTGCCTGTAATTCCAGCACTTGGGAGGCTGAGGCAGAGTGTCACTGAGTTCAAGACCAGTCTGAATTACACACAGACCCTGTCACCAAAAAAAAAGTATCTTATACAGCAGAGGATTGGGGATTCAGCTCAGTGGCACAGGTGCTTGCTTGGCAAGTGCGAGGTTGTAAGTTCGATCCTCAGTACCAAAACAAAAAATGTACAAAAAAACCTCACTTGTAATTTTATATTGATTTTATATTGCAATGAGAATACTTTAGATACATTGAGTTAAAATATACCAAAATTATGTTCACTTGCTTCTTCTACTTCTTAGAACGTTGTTATTTGAAAACTTGAATTCACCTGTGAGGTTCTCAAGTCATTTTCTTGGCCAGGCCTGCTCTCCAAGCTTCAAGTGCTGAGAAGGGAAGGACAGAGGGCAGGGCCCAGGGGACCTGGGAAGGTGCACAGGAAAAAGAAGCACCTGAGGACACCATTTTCCCATCTTTTATTATTCAACAATGGATGGGGACACAGATGCAAGGGCAGGACAATAGTAAATTTTAATAAATATGAGAAATGGGGGTGGAGGTGGGTCCGCGCCTGCACAGCCCCACATAAATAACCAGGTGGCTGAGCCAGAGTGGTGACATGGGATGGGCTGGAGTCCCCTGCGCTACCCAGGGCCTTGAGGACAGACACACTGCACCACAGGGAGATGGAAACCACGGAGGGTAGAGGTGCTCACCAGCCCTGCCAGTGCTTCTGTCCCCAAGGCTCCAGGGACCCTGGAGTGCAGGGCAGGTGAGGCTCTGCAGCAGCCCTGCTCAGGTCAAGTCCGTTTCTGTTTCGTTAAAAAACAGCAGGTGGAGGCAGGCACATGCATTCAGCTCCGTCTGCCGCAGGTGGAGCCTGGATGGACAGCCCCACGGGAGCCTTGAAGGCAGAAAGCAGCAAAAATGGGCAGATAAAGCTACGAGTGGGAGGGGTGGCAGAGTCAAGCTCTCCCCCAACAGCACCCCGCCCAGAATCCGCAAGGAGGTGGGGAGGCCCTGGATCCTGAGACATTCTCTCCCCACTTCACAGTCAGGTAAACGGGGCCCAGTGATAGCCAGGGACACACCCAGGATTAGAACCCAGGAACTCAGCATCCCAGCCCAGGGCTTTTCATTATCCCTTCCCTTCACAGGACCTGCCAGAAGAGGAGAGGGAGGCACATCTGCTCTAGGGTCAGTCACCAAGGGGTGGGGCTGGGGCACCAGACACAGGCACCGCCCCTCCACCAAACCTAGACCCCTGGCGGTTCAGAGAAGCCAGTGGGCTCCTAGGATGTGGCCTGAGCCAGCACAGGGTTAGGGCATCCTTCAGGCAAGGGACTGGGGCGACAGGGACAGGCGAGGCTCTCAATCTGCTGCACACGGTGCCCGCTGATGCCGCCTCACTGGGGCAGACGGTCCCACCTCCAGGCTGGGACCTTCCCTGTGTCTGCTGGCTCACTGCTTCTTGGTCCTCAGTCTCAGCTGCAGCTCTGCCTCCTCCAGGAAGTCTTGGGGACCTCCCAGGGCAAGGCTGAGTATCCTCAGACTCGACAGCGCCTCAGATGACCAGGTTGCTCTCACTGAGCCGGACCACATAGCGGTTCTCCTGGAGACAACAGTGACATCAAGAGGGCTCCTGGCTCCAGGAAAGGAGCCCCTGCCTAGGGTCCCTGCGCTCCGCCCTCTTCTGTTGTCAGTCAGGTGCTAACAGGAACCTTCCCCATACTTCACCTCAACCTTGTTCTCTGCTGGGGGCTTCGGCCACCTGGTATGGCTTTCACCACTTCCCAGCAGTGCCCGCTGCTCAGGTAGGAGTGCAGGTTGTGGAGAGTCAGGGAGGTCACCCACAGAAGGCCCAGCCTCTGTGATGGTCTTCACTTCAGATGCCACTAAACTTGTCCTCTGCTCAGGAATTCGAGCCACACGGAACCTAAGAGGCGAGATGGTGCAACCATACCCCGTTAGAGGGGAACTCCGGCATCTCCAGGCTCACACAGTTCAGGGAGAAAATGTCTGCCCTCCACAGACAAGGGCTTCACTGTGCTATCTGTGCCCAGTCCCCAGCACCCCAACTCTAGTTACACATGCATAGCCTTGGCCTGCGAGGCTGCAGGTATGGTGAGGGCCAAGATGGTACCCTGGCGACCCAAGAGGTCCATATGAGACACGGCACAACTGGGGAGTCCTGACTTTCCTCTGGCCACCCACTCTGCCTGGAGGTCCAGGAAGAGCATGGCCATCATGGAACAAGGGGCTCAGGGCTGGACAGGAGCCATGTTTCTCATGATGCCATTTGTCACCTCACCTGCCCACAGACAAGATGGTGATCTCGCCCTGACGTCCTGCCTTGGCCCCAGCCTTGGGAGCTCTGGCCAGGGCAGGCAGAAGGCTGGGAGCCGGAGTGGAGGCAGCTGCTGCCTCAGGGGACAACAGCACCTCAGGCCATTTCTTCTGGCTACATCGGGAGCAACAGGAGCCAGAGAGCGAAGCTAGGCCCTGCACAGTGTGGAGGTGGTGGCGATGCGGGCAGATGTGCGGCATGCTGGGGGAGGCCGGAGGCAGCCTGCAGGAGAGCAAGGGGGTGCAGTCACTAGGGCAGCTGGGGCCCAGGGCAGAGATGAGCCAAGGAGTCAGGAGACGTACCAGACCCAGGTGGGGAGCCCGGAGGGAAGCTGATGGGCTGAGGCCTTGCCCTCTCACCTGAGCACAGGCCTGTGGCTCGTCTGCACCAGCTGCTTGCTGTGGTATTCCTTCAGCAGCTCCTCCAGGGCTGCGGCATTCTCTGCGGGCAGCTGTGGTCAGAGCCCTGCTCTGCCACGAGGGAAGCCCTTGCCCTGCCCCAGCAAAAACCCCTCACCTACCCACCACCTGTCCCCAATCTTGGCTGTTAGCCTTTTCCTCTGCCCTGCATCCACCAAGGCCAGACACTCATGGGTGGCACCAAGGTCACAAGATCAGGCCAGCCTGAGGCCCCAGCGCAGGGAGGCAGGGTGGGCTGATGGCCTGTCCACTCAGTGGCTCTCAGAGGAGACCTTCTGCCTGGGCACTGGGATGGGTCAGACCCTCCTCTCACCCTTCTTCTCTGTGATCAGGCGCACCAAGATGCCAATAGTGTCCTCATTGGTGTCATCGGTCCGGTAGGCAGGGTTGATCCCTGGGAAAAAGCAGAGGTCCATGATCTTAGGAGGGGGTGGGAGGACTCTGGGCTCCCAGCTATACCAGAACCTGCCGGCAGAGGGTGCCCCGGCCTTCCTCGGCTGTAGGAGCCACGTGTGTGTTCAGGCAACAGCTGCTGCTCATTGTCACCTTTACTATTCAGGTCACACCTGTACTCAGCAGCCCACTCTGCTTACTGGTTTCAGGGCCATCCAAATTCCACAGTCTGCAGACTGTGGAGGGCACAGACTGTGTCAGCTTCTTCTGGGGTGGCTCTGCCCTGCCTGAGCCTTAGGATGCACTTCCAACGTCTACAACAAACTGCCCTTCAGGCCCATTACCTCCCTGCACACTGCCCTGTCCATGGAACTATTTAACTAAGGGCCACTGGTCAACTCTGGGCCCAAACGTCAAGTGTGTGGGAATGGGCCACTGTGATCCCATCCTGAGCCCAACACCATGGTGTCTCAGAATTTGCACCTGGGAAGCAGCCAGCAATTAAAAGTCACTAGGCTAAGAAAACAAGTACTGTCCCAGGCAAACCAGCACTGAGTTGCCACCCACTCGCTCGCCCGTGCCTAGTTCCCTCTCCAGACTTCAGCATCAGGAATTGGAAGGGCCCTGCCAGTCCCAGGCAGCCTCAGAGACTGGCACTGGAGGTGCCACTTCACCCTGGACTTAGCTGGAAGGATCCTATGAGCCCAGGGCAGTGTACATGCATGTGGAGTCCCCAGTGCGTCTAAAACATTGGTCTGGTGGGGCAGAAAAACCCCGGGGCCAGGGTGGAAGAACACTCCTCTCCTTTGGTTCCAGGACTTGTAACTCAAACCCTAGCCTGGAGCTGCAACCTGAGCCTGCAGCAGGGGCAGCTGTCCTGCCCGCCTTCCTACTGCAGAGCATTCCTCCAGATCCAGGTCAGAGGTCAAGAGGGTCCCTTTGGTACCTGAAAGGCCATCTCTAGCCTTTAAGTCACACATACAGCTACAGCCCTCAGGAGGAGAACCTGTGGCTAGGCAAGGAGGGCTTTATCAAGATAGAGATTCCACGGCTGCCACCAGCTGTCCTGCCCCTGCTCTGCCCATGATCCCACACCTTGGTCCCTCACCTTCTCCTCTCTGTCAGTCTACGCCCTTTTCTAAGGCTCCTATACAGCTGCAGCACCTGCGGCCTCTCTCAGTAGACCCCAGCTAGGAGCTTCCCTCTGGCGGCACTCCATTCCGCTTTGGGGCCCAGCCAGTCCTTGCTCCCCAGCCTCCCATCCGGACCCCAGGGCGGGCCTCACCGCTGCTTCCACTGCCTGGGGTGGGCCCGACCTCCTTGTGGGCTGTGCAGTGGTAGCCCTTCCGCTTGAGCAGGTTGCACACCAGGATGCCCAGCAGCCCCATGAGGCAGAAGATGGGCACAATGGCAATCACCGCGTACTGCGTTGCTGTCTCTTCGGGACCACCTGCTCGAGTACCATTTCCAGGCTGCCTTGTCTCACTGCCACTGCCACCACCAGCTCCTGCTGCCACCTCCACACCACGTCGGGCCCGCCGCCCCAACTCTGAGCACCATGGCACATAGAGGCAAGACCAAGGTAGAGAGAACGACACTTACAGAGAGGCCGAGGCCCTGCACCCCATTAGAGGAGGTGGAGGAAGAACTGATGTGCCCAGGCAGCCACCTCCTGGCTAGCCACCTCAGGAGGCAAAGGCCAGCTCAGGGTCCTTCCTTTTCTCCTGCTTTGGCCACTGGGTTAGTTATCATGAGACGCTCAAGCTTGCATGAGAGGAATGTGCACACAGTAACATGGCACAGTCTGGGCCCAGGGATATCCCGCAACTCCATGGCCTGGTCTGTGGGCCTGCTGCTTCTGAGGCACAGGGCTCAGTGTGAGAGGAGCCGTGTAGACATGCACATATCTGTCAGCGTGCATGTGCTGCAGAGATCTCATGGATGTGAACCCCCAATCCCCTTAACTGTGGCTGCCATCTGCTGGATGGTCTCTGTCACTCAGAAACAAGTGTTCCAGTGACCACAGCCTCAGCACCACCCCCCACCCTCCTCCACAGGATCCCACCATCCCATGTGAGCACTGTGGGGTTACTAAAGTTCAGCTCAGGGGACCCTTCCCACCCCCACCCCCCATTTGCCACTCACCATCACAGCTGTGAGTACTGAGAGGTGCCCAGGAACACGGCTGACATGGAATAGGGGGAACCCCCCTTGGCTCAAACCACCTGCAGAGAAGATGTCAGGTCCGGGGATTTAGTTCAGCAGCTCAAGCACTCTCCTGGTAAGCATGAGGTTGTGAGTTTGATCCCCAGTACCAAAAAGCAAAACAAAACAAAGAATGTATCAAGATAAAGAAGATGTCACTGAAATCCAGAAGTTTCTCCAAAAAACTATCCATAAGAGAGACTGGATGCCTTCCTGTATGCTCAGTGGTCCTGCCCCATCCCATGTCATGGAGAGGGAGACTGAAGCCTGCTCAGTGTGGAATGGGCTGGAACCCCAGGACTCAAGGTCCTGGCCTCCCAGACATGAACCTCCCACTTCCCACTCCTGTGCTCACCCAGGCTGGCAGCCTCCACATAGTGCATCTTGAATCGCGGTGCCAGCCTGGACCTCCAGCCTCCTTCGAAGGCTGCAGCAGTCATGGGGCTGGCATGGGCTAGAGCCCCAGGAGGCTGAGAAGGTGCCCGGGGGGCATGACCTACATGGTGTGCCCTGGCCCAGCTCCTGTACAAGAGAAAGGGTGAGAACAAGGCCAGGAGCCCTGGGAAATAGGCCTGGCGCTTCACTGCTCCCCCAGGAGTCTCCCCACAACAGGGCAGATGGGCAGTACAGTGCTCACCGGGTCAGGCTCCTCTCCAGGTGGGCACTGCCAAGGGGTGGTTGATGTTGGAGTGGCCAGAGCCCCGGACAGCAGCTGAAAAAAGCAGGAGGAGGAGGAGCATGTTGAGGGATAGAAAGCATGAGCTGTAGGGTCTTTGGGGTCATCTGTCCAGTTCCTACTTCCTGAGGCCCTGGGTATGATGACTGCTGACCACACAGGGCCACCCTGAACCCCCTCAGGCTTCAGGGATATTCTTCTAACCTCAATCCCTCGTACTGCAAGGAAAACCTGCCCTGTCTCAAACATAACCAGTGCCTGGGTAAGGAGAAAATCCTGCCTGCTTCTAGAAAGAACCAGGGAAGGGGTCAGGACTTTAAACCCTTGGGTCTCTGAGTTCTGCCCCTTCCGGCTGACCAAACAGATGATGAGGAAATGCTTCCGAATTCCTCACTCAGATTCTCTCCCTTTTCCTGCCACCCCCACTCCCAACACAGCTGGGTATGTCATTAGCCAGCCTCTGTTTATCCTCCCTGGAGCCAAGCATACAGCTGGTACTTACTATTCTGAGCCCTGGGCTGAGCCTCTGAGACCACATCCTCCTCTGTGACCATCCCCTGTGGCAAGGTCACCCCAGTCACACCTCTGTACCCAAACAGGGTATGCCACGTAGAAAAGAAAGGGTCTTTTCAATGGGTGCTTCCAGCCCCTTCCATGATGTGCTCTCCACTAGGTCCACTTGTGTGAACTGAACTCCTGCTGTGGGGTATGCCATCCTCCAATGTGGCCTAGTCTGTTGGGGGCATCGGCCACAGCACAGACCAAGCTGCCTGCAGGTGGCACTTCACAGAGACTCTGGGGATCTCCAGAGCTAGTTGCCTGTACCTGCTAAAGCTGAGAGGCCTCCTGCCCAAGGTCCAGTCTCACCCTTCCTGGGCATTAGCAGAAAGCCAATACCAGGCCAAGGCTATAAGTCTGTAGATACAGGTGGCCTGATTCTGACTCAAGTGTGACCCTTAATGCTGGCTGCATTCTAGGATCCCTAGACCAATACAGATCTTAACCTCAGCAATCTAAAATGCTTCAAATTCTAGGCTTCTTTGGCCCAAATTCCTTCATGTCCCAGGGCACCTTGCAGCTGGTGGTCCTCAGACCTGCCTGCTAACAGGCACCTTGCTGTCAGCCACACTCCCTTGACTAGAAACATCAGCCAAGTCCTTCCTTCTCCCCTCCACCTGGCCTGGGTGGGTATGAGCTGGGAAGTTCTGGTCCCTTTTTCCCGGATGCCATGGCCTTCCCACATGGTTAACATCTCATGCTGGGGGAACATGGAAGTATTTCCAAGAGTCTGCAGTCTCAAATTCTTCCCAGGTAGGGTCAGAAGCCACGTGTCACCACAGCTCAGTTCAGCAGCAGAATCCCTGGAGAGCTGGGTGTGGGGTTCAGGGTTCTTCCAGCTTCTCCCAGGCCGTCCCAAACTTACCACAAAGAGGCAGGACAGAGGGCAGCATAGTGGGCTCAGCTTCATCATCAGGCCCCAGAGTGGTCACTGGCCTAGGGCAGAACATGGGGAGACTGAGAGGGCAGTGGGGACAGGCAGGCAGCCACGTGCCCCCAGGCCACCTTCGGCATGACGGGCCTTGACAAGGAATTTGCAAGGTGCTGCTGGGCACACAGAGCAGGGCGTGGCTTGCCCTCCCTGCTTTAGATGCAAGCCAGGGGCTGCATGTCTGGGACCAGCTCCCAGGTCGGACCAGGATGGCAGGGCAGGCAGAGGACTCTGCAGGATGGGGAGGCTTCCCTGAGGAGGAAGGGCTTCCTTTCCCTCCCATAAACAGCCAGGTGCCCTGCAGCATCAGCAAGGGAGCTCAGAGGAAGGAAGGAAGTGTGGGGAGGTCTCGGGCCAGGCCTAGAGGGCTGCAGCACCGCAGCCTGGCCCTCTGCAGCTCTGGGCTCCTGCCAGCCAGGTCTCTCACAGGTCTGCAAGTTGCTGCCACTCCTGCTCCTCTGCCTTCACTACTGCTCACTCTGCACAAGGAAGAACCTTTCACACCACCACCACCAAAGCCCAACACAAGGCCTCTTTCTGAAAGCTTCTCTAGCTTTCCCCAAAGCTGAATCTGGTTCCCACAGCTTCCTATCCTCCCTGTCCCCTTCCCACATCCATCACCTGCCTGGTCTCCAGGTCCTGGTCCCCACCGGGTGAGGTAGGGTGGTGGGGACATGTCCACTTGCATTCTTGCCTGCCTAGTGCCACAGGGTGGAGTGACCCTTCCCATCCCCAGCCAGCGTCCAGCCTCTCCTCATCTCTCCAGCACCTCCTATGTGCCTACAGCTCTCCGCACTAAGGATGAAGCATGAATACAACAGAGGGGACCCTGTCCTCAGGGAACCCCATCGTAGGAGCCACAAATGGCAGACAGACAGACAGAAAGGCGACCCTGTCAGTAGGTGGAGTGCTGAGAAATACAGTAGAGCAGGGTATGATCTGTGTGGTAACATCAGTGATTGATCATGGCCCTAGACTTTGGCTACTTCCAGGTAAGTCTCCAACCAATGGACAAGGCTGGGACAACAGGAAGCAGGCTTCAGATAAGACAACAAGAAGGGACTGAGGAACGGGGAAGTTCCCGGATATATTTGCAGGGGCCAGGGTTTCGGGTCATCAGGGAAGTGTGATGGAAGCAGAGCTCTTGAATGGCAGGGTGGCACAGGCCACCTCTGGAACTCAAGGGTGGTCCATAGGCCTCAGAAAATTCAGACACTGACCCAGGGCCCCGGCCTGTCTGAAGCTAAGCCTGGTGGGAGACTGGCTGCCTGTAGCAGGTTCCATCCAGGTCACATGAGAGCCCCCCTCCCTGTGGGCAGCTGGGACTTCTCCCCTGGAAAAGGAGCAGAGAAAACTGATCTGCCCACCTGACCTGGGCCCGGCCCAGGCTTCAGTTACACCGGGGGGGGGGGGGGGGGGGCAGCAGTCACATCATCCGAGGGACTCTCCAGGTCACTGACCGCCAGCTGCTTGTTCTGTGCACTCTGTGCCCCAGAATGGCCAAGGGGAAACCCAGGGACAGTGGAGGCCAGAAGAGTAAGTGAAGGCCACATCTGACAGTCAACGCTCCTCAGCTGGTACTCTGATTCACTCTCACCTATGCCTCCTCAAATTCAGTCACAGGTTCTGCCCCACAATGTCATTCTACTGCTCAGCACCCCTAACCCAGTCCATCTCCCCAAGACTCAGTCCAGTCCTTCAAGGGCTCTAAGCCACAGACCTGACCACAGCCCCAAATCCTCAGGCTCTCCCCACTACCTGCAGCCAGCCCCCCAGCAGTGGGTGAAAACTAACAAGCAAACCCAGAGTCCCAGGAACACCCCTGACCCCGGGTAGCCTCTGCAGGTGACCTGAGCCCAAAAGCAGGAGCTGTGCAGCTGCTCAGTTGCTCATGTACAGACAGGCATGGAGCGGTGCGATCTAGAGACTTCCAGGAGGAAAGTAAGGATCCAGAGGCCCACATCAGCCTGAGAGGCCACATTCAGACATTCACCACCCAGTGCCCCTGCACCTTCTAATTATGTGCCTTCTAATTACCCCAAACCCCCACTTACTCCAGTCTGGCTGCCCCAGCCCCCACACTCACCCTGACTGAGCCCTCAGTGGACCTGCACAGTCAGGCAAAAGAGCCCAGCACACAAGTGCACACACAGACTGCTCAGACCCCTGCCCCCAGGCCTCTAGTGTCCAAGCCACAGCCTTGCAGGGATGGCAAAGCAAGTTCAGAGAGACGCCCAGGGACCAAATGCCTGGTCCACCCAGCCAAGCAGTCAGGGATGACCCAAAGTTGGCACCTCCTGAGCGCTTTCTGCAGGACAGCTGTCAGAGACAGAGACAGGCTCAGAAGTGCACCTGGCCAGACTGTGGCCTGGAGGAGGAGAGGAAGAATGCTCCTCCCCTTGTCGCATGGTGGGTGAGGCGCACCCCAGTGGTTCTAGGCAAGAAGGAAGTCGGCTCAGAGGCCATTCCTCCCTCAGGTCTCTTAGCCCCACCTATCTCCTCTGCCAGCAACTCCCTGGCCCTGAGCATTTCACTCCCTGGGGTTCAGTTTCCTCATCTCCAAGATGGGCATGTTTATCTCCCCCAGCAAGGGTGGCTATCAGGAGGCTTCAATGAGGTAATGGACCCAAAGTAGGTCACGGGACATCCTCCCCAACAGCCCTTTCTCCCGGGCTGCAGGTTTGTAATTAAGTGTTTGTCTGCTTACTTGTTTACTGTTGCTCCCCAACCAGACAGCAGGAAGGGCAGGGATGTCTGCTTTATTCACCACAAAGCCCAGCACCCAGCCTTGAGCACGAAGTCTTCACGCAGTCTCCACCGAACATGCTTGACCAGACCAAAAGGTTAAGGAGGGCTTCGTGAGACTCAGCCCTCCGAAAAAGCACCCAAACAACTAGAACCAGAAATTCCCTGGGTAAAAGCCAGCTAGCCAGGCCATGACCAGGCCCCCAAGTGAAGAAGAAGCAAGCCTGACCCTGCAGAGCCCAGAGGGGAGCAGCCTGAGGCCTCCTTAGAGGAAACGGTGACCCCGCCCAGGCCTCAGGCAGCTTCCCCTTTCCCAGAACTGAAGCGCCCCATCTAGTAACCCAGGCCCTGCCACATGCCTCCCCTCCACACTCCGCGATCCCCCAGAGCCCTGCCACCCCTCCTGCCTGCTCACTCCTTTCCTCGCTTCCACAGCTCCCCACTCTGCAGCTAAGAGTCGGGGCACAGCCTGCACCTGGGCCTGCTGCTCAGGATGTACCTGCAGGCCTGCTCACTGAAGGCAGCTGCACCAGCCACTTCAGCACCTTCAGCGCAGGGTACCTGCACTTTCCTCCGCACACAAGCCCCGCCCATCACTTGGAGCTCAGCTCAAAGTCACTTCCTCCAGGAAGTCTCCCCCTCAGCACTCATCAACACCCTGTTTACCCAGCCCCTTCCCTGCCCTGAGTGGTGGCAGTGCCAGACCAGGGGAGTGTGTGCTGCCTTGGGGACAGGAAGCAGAAAAAGTGTCTTCAAGAGATAGGCCACTTGTGCCAGGGGAGGGAGGACCAGACAGCAGGCTGCTGGTGGAGGAGCCCAAAGCTGGGCTTAGAAAGGGCTGGGTCTGAATATGGGTCTGAGGCTCCAGGCAAAGGAGCACAAGCCTCCCTGCTCTGCTCCACGTTGACTGTGGCTGTGGAGCACCCTGCTGCATTGAGGGCAAAATGAGAGAACTGACATTAATTTCTCAAAGGAGAACTGAGACAGAAAGCCCTCAGTAAGTATTCACTATTCTTCAAGTGAGTGTTATTCCTATACTATCTGCCTTTCTCTGTCTCTGTCTCTGTCTCTCTCTCTAGTAGTACCAGGGACTGAATCCAGAGCCTCTGCACTGAGCTACAGACCTTTTTAAAAACTTTTGAAACAAGGTCTTGCTAAGTTGCCCAGGCTGGGCTCAAACTCATGATCCTCCTGCCTTAGCCTCCCAGAGTGCTGGAATTATAGGTGTGTACCACTCACTACACCCCACTCAAGGTTTACTTTTGTACTTAGGTACAGTGCCTGGTGCCAAGCCAGGTATAGGTGTCAGATCAGCCATGCTAAGCCTCTGGGGTGGTGGCGGAGGAGGAGCAGGAGAGGAGAGGAGTCTGAGGAGATTGGTGGGTAGTGCCCAGGTCATGCCAAACCTCAGCTGCAAGCTGAAAGCTTGTATGTTCCCCAGGAGCTTAAAGGGTTAAGCAGGCTGCAGAGAGGCAAGGATGGATTTGCATCTCAGCTGGTGTGCAGGGCTGCCTGCTGCCTGCTGGGGAATGAGGGTACCGGTGGTAGGTACTACTGCCCAGCCCTGGCTCTGAGGCCCTGCGGACCTCCCTCCAGCCCCCAGAGGAAAGGTTGCCTGGAAACACAGCTGGACACTGGCCTCCCTCAGCAGTGGCCACACCAAGCAGGAAGACAAAGGCAGCCCATCAATAGAGAAATCCAGGTTAGCGAGGGACCCAGTGGTTCCCTGGCAACTGGGGTTGAAGGAAGGTAGTACCCACACTGGGTGGCAGGGTGGGCACCTAGGCGCTGCCTGCTTCCCCTCCTCCCCTAACAGGAGAAGGACACTGACCCCCACCCAGGCATGGCCATCCTCCTAGAGAGACAGGGTTGGAGGAGGTCTCTGGTAGGGGTCACACAGGCAGTAAATGCTGAAGCAGGGATGGAGCCAGACTGTCTCCTGTCTGCCTCCCCTACCCTGACACTTGCCCAGAGCCTGACAGGTAGATGTTCTCAGTTTGCCCAACTGAGGGCAGAGGCTAGGGAAATTGCAGTGCACAGTAAGTGGTCCAACTGAAGGCCTACTACAAAGACCAGAGAGGGTTCTGTCCCCACATGCAGCCTCAGGGCCTCTGGAAATTTGCCTGTACCTACACTCATTTGTGTACTGTTCCAATCTGTGCCTGCTCTGGCAAGAAAGCATACCCTGGGAACTAACAGAAGCAGGAAGACTGGGAAAGTCTGGGAATTCCCAGTACGCGGAAGAGGTCCCAGGGCAAAGCCCCAGCTTCCTAGGGCTGCTGCCTGGACTGGGGACCCACAGAGGTACAGAAGCCAACTTGGGGTCATTCAGTGAGAAGGGCGCCCCCATGCCCAGCCCTCCCCAGCCTGGGGAAACCAGAATTTCCCAGGTTGAGTACCTGGGAAATGAGTACCTCCCCAGTGCTAGACCTCTAATCCTGTGCCATGATACTGCCAGGAGCTGGTTTTGGTTCTGCCCCTCAGGCCTCATGGCTGCCGTTGGGCCTGTGAGTCAATGGCTCAGGTGGGTGAGATGGGCAGAAGAGGCTGAGGGGCTAATTGGCTCCTTGAGGCTAAGAAAAGGGCTGAGGTAGTCAGACTGGCCCACCTGGCTCCTCCCAGTCTGGGCAGGGTATGGATGAGCTCTCTTCCCTCCACCCAAGCCAGGCCAAGTCTGGGGCTAGGGGACTGGGTAAGACCAGAGTGATTTCTGGGGCAGAGCTGGGGCTCCCTAATCACCCTCTCCAGCCAGGGTCCCAGAGAACCCTCAAAGGCAAGGTTCCACATGCAAGGAAACTGAGGCTCACAATGCCTAAGTAGTAACCTGTAACAATCTGATCACAAAGCAGCGAGCCTTAGCCATCTTAGAGAGGGGTAGGCAGCAGACGCGTTCCTGCTCGTCCCCCAGGCCTGGCATCCCTGCTGCTGCCACGAGGCACACTTCTAGTCCACCCACAACCTCTTAACAGCATGAACCAGCCCTGAGCTGTCTGTCCTTGACCCTGGACAGCACAGCAAGGGCCCAGAAAGCACCTGGGGCATATGCTACTGCTCCCTCTCTGAGAAGCCACCCTGGCCTCTGGCCCTGGCCATATACCTCTACAGCATCACTAATGTGCTCAGGTGGTCCAGAATCTGCTCAGTACAGGCCCTGTCCCCATCACCCTAATGTAGCTGACTGGGACAGAGGATTCAGGAGAGATCAAGGGGAAACTATATCTCCATGCTCCATTCTCCAATGCTCCCAGAATTGGGGTGCTAGGAAAGAGGCTCCTGAGGCCCTACTCCACAGATCTGTCCTGAGTCCTGGGGTGTGTGTGTGTATGACATGGTGCTAGGAATGGATAAGGTCAGGCCAGGCTCTGAGAGCATATCTGGGCTCAAGCTGTAGTTCTGTCACTTTGTGGATCTGTGACCTTGGGCAGGTCGTTTACCCTCTCGGAACTTTGAGGTCCTCCTCTGCAAAGAAGTGCCAGTCTCAGCCTCATGGAATGCTGAGGAGCTAAGTGGAATAACCCAGGTGAAGAATCATGCGGCAGGGAGAAGGGATTAAAAAAGGAAACAAACTGTATTATGCATGTGTACCAACTCCCCAAGATGATTATAAAATGCATGTACTGTAAACATGTAGTAATAAAATAAAATAGGAAAAAAAAAGAACTAAGCAGTGTCCACACAAGATTACCCAGAAGCTTGGGTACAGCAAGAGTGCTTTGCGTGGACTCCCTGGGTCCCCATTTCCTAAGAGTCTCCAGGCCTGTGTCACCTGTTTACACACCAGCTGAGGCCACAGTCAGGAGAGTGGAGGGGTATGAAGCAGGAACAATTAATGTAAGGATACAGTCCCACATGCCCAAACCTCAGTTTTTCCTCTGGAGTTTGGGGCAATTATTACCTATTCGTCCACGAATAACGCCAGTGTGGTAGAGGGCTCACAGTTCATAGGTGAATGGTGACTTCGTATAATCTCATCTGAGCTCAGGTGCCCTCTCCTGCAGGAAGCTGGGCTTGGGGAGGGGCTATCACTTTTCAGCCCCCTTTGGCCCCTGCCAGAAAGGAAAGGCTCCCTGTGAGAGGCAAGCAGTGCCTGCAGCATGTGGGCAGCTGGGCACCCTGTAGGCTCTTTTGCTCTCCCTGTGCCTTCCCTGTGAGTGGTGAGTGAGGCCCGGCTCTTCTCTCCGCACCACACTCAGACCCTGCCTCTAACTGGCTAGAGAGGCCCCCTCTGTGCCAACCAGCCAGGGCACAGTCTCACAGCCACGTGGGCAGGTTATTTATAGAGCTCTCATCTTTCCCAGAGTGGCCCAGGAAAGAACTCTGGCCTTCAAGGCTGACAGATCCAGGTTTGGATCCCAGTGTCACTGGAGACCTGCAAGTGCCTTCCCCTCTTGGGACCTGGGTTTCCATGCCTGGGCCTGGAAGACTGGTGATACTCTGGAACATGAAGCTGAGATATGGCAGCCTCAGGGGCCTTAATGTCAGGCGTGGGCACACAGTAGGAACACAGAACTAGCTTCTGTGCTCTCTGCTATGCAGCCCTATCCAGTGGCACTACGCTTAGGCGTAGACCAATGGTGGCGAACCTATGGCACATCTTTGTTATCAGGTGTTTGTTATCACTGAAAGCTCTAAAAGGTTTGCAATCACTGGCCCAGGCACAGAAGTTCAGCTTTACTGTGGATGCTAATCTGCCCAGCGCTCGCCAATTCTGAGTTGGGGGTGGGACTGCGCCTTATGAGTGATCTCAGGTAAAATCCTCCCTCACTGGTCCCCCCTCCCACTCACCTGTCAAAGGGCCTAGCTCTGTTTTGTACCCTGCCCAGTCAGACCAGGTGCTGAAAACTACCTACCAATAAGTCCTCCTGCTTCAGTAATCCAAACTAGTCCTCTGGAAGCTCACAACAGCATTGTCAGACTGGCCCCCAACCCTCAACTCCCATCTGAAGACCAAGCCAGGTGTGGGCAAAAGCTGGTGTTAGACTCTAGCACAGTGGCTGTGTGATGCAAACCAGGGCTGCTCACTTCCACTGAGTCTCGGCTGCTCTGTAGCAACCTGGAAAGGAGAGACCCCTATCAGCGCTGCTGTGGGAGATGCTGAGTCCATGATCTGGCGCATGGCAGGACATTGGTAGGGACAGCTTCCTCTGCCAGCCCAGAATGAAGGCCTTGTTGGAAGAGGGCCATGGTAAGCACCAAATGTGCCCATATCCCAGGGGTGGCCTTCAGTCATTGCCTCAACCCCAGCACACAATCAGCCCCAGGCCGTGGTGAGCCTCAGAGATCTGAATGTAAGCTCCCATGCCCTCGACAGCACAGGCACGGGGACCCGACATGACTACCCTTCCTTGGGACAGAGTGGTCAGTACAGATGTGGCAGTGGAAAGGGCAGGCTGCTGGTCAGGCCAGTCAACCAGCTTGGCAAACAGTGTCACAAGTGACCCACATCTGTACCTGTATCCCAGAGACAAGGAAGACACCGGGAAGTAAGCCACAACAATGAAGAGGAACTGACATTGGGCTTAGAGGACTTCCTGGCTCAGGTGAGGCTGGGGCTGAGCCTGGAAAGGCCAGGAGGGTTATACAAAGAGGGGACAGAGAACACACAGGGAGGGGTGTAGGTAAAGACGAAAAGTTAATGATGAGAAGCTTAGACTGTTTTGCAGGCTAAAGACAACAGGCGCTTTAGGGAATTCACTATGGGAAGGACTGGAAATGGAGGCAGAGGAGTTGGTACAAGAGTTTCGGCCTACAGCCAAGTGCAGTGGCACAAACCTGCAGTCCCTCCTACTCAGGAGGCTGAGACAAGAGGATTGAAAGTACAGGTCCAGAGATGAGGAGAGGACAGAAAGAACAAGGAAAAGAAATGGAAACACAGCTTTTGTAGTAAGAAAGGGAAGAGGGGTTGAAGGGAGGGGGAGGAAACAGGAAAAAAGCAGCAGCAAGATATATCAAGTACACGTACAAATCCCCTGTGACCAATGTTATCATTATGTATATTTAAAATGTACCGATAATGAAAAGATTTTTTAAAAAGGAAAGTATAAGACAAGTTTGGGTAACTTAATTAGAGCCTGCCTCAAAATAAAAAATAAAAAGGGATATGGACATAGGTCCACAGTAGAGCACTTCTCTAGCATGTGTGAGGTCCTGAGCCCAAACCCCTGAATTGCAAAGAAAAAAAAAAAGAGTCTGGGCCCAGAGAACAGGACTGAACCAGAATGTACAAGCAGCCTGGGCTTGCAAAGCTGTGTCTTACTCCTGCTTCCCATGCTGCCTATGCCCCGCCAGCCAAGGAATGACGGGAAGGGTGTAAGGTGGGTCCTCTGCCTAGAGGAGAAAAGCCAGAAGAACAGGGATAGGGGGCTTGGGTAAGTCCCTGAAATTCTCAGAACTGAGTCTCTCTTTGTAAAATGGGGAGCAGTCAGAATGACCTGCTGGCTGATTCCTATACCTATGAGCAGGATGGATGGTGACTGCCCCTCAACCTCTCCCATCCTTGGCCAGACACAGATAACTCCGCAGATAACTCCCGCCAGCAACTATCACCAAGTCTGGGCCCAGGTCCAAGTCCCCAGAAAGACTGGGCTCAGGCAGGCACAGGAAGCACAGGACCTCCACAAGGCTGGCCAAGAAGAGGTAAATCCTTAAGTTAACCCTTCTTCTCTCTCCCCCGTCCCAGGCCTGAGCTATTTCCACCTCTTTGCTGGGGATGGAAATAACTCGGGCTCAGCCCCTGGAGACCAAGACAGCTATTTTCATCAGCCCCAAGAAGCACAGCTCCCGTCATTTCAAAGAAGACCGAGGCCCACCCTGATGCCCAGTCTCAGTTCTAAACAAACCAGTGGCAGTGGTCAGAGCTGGAAGGGACACTGGGGGAAAATGGGGAGAGAGAGGCCCAGAGAGGGCAGAGCAGCTGTTCAAGGTCATTCCATGTATGTGTTCCCCAGCACAGCAAGTGGGAGTCTATGGGAAGAAGTCCTTGAGTGATGGCAAAGAGGTGAGTGGGGGCCTCTCAAGTGTGGTAAAAGTCAATTGTCCCTGCCACCCCGAGCTGTGCTGCTAACTTCACTCTTCAGAGCCAGGTGGACACCCCCAAGGCCAGGCACAGACTCTACAAGGCAGGACACAAGCCTTTCTGGTGACCTCTGTCTGGGAGTGACAAGCAGGAGGAGGAAGAGAAAGAACAGGAAGATCATGTAACTTACCCACTTCCCGTGTTCCAGACATATGCACACACACACACACACACACACACACACACACACACACACACACACACGTCACAGTCAAAACTCAAATGGGACAGCCTGCAAGGCCATGTCTGCCAGCCCAGGTATGAGAGACGGTAAGGTAAGCCGTAAACAGTTATCAGGAGGACGGTGATCCTCTCTAAGCACCTCACAGGGTCAGAAGACCCGAGTTCCAATCCTGGCCCTGTCTGGACTCTTCATTGACCTTGGGCGAAGCCGCTTTGTTTCTCTGAGCCTCAGGTTCTTTGAAACAGTCACATTACAGAACCACTGTGAGGATTCAACAAGATAGCACATCATAGAGTGTTTAGAACAGAGCCTGGCCCTGTGCCCACTCCCCCAGAAAGCAATCAACATTTTCAGAAGATGACAGCAGAAGACAGAATTTCCAGAGCCTACATTCAGCAGGTGCCACACCCCCTGCCAATGACACCTTCAGAGGTTGTCATGCTAGATGGGGAAGGGACCCTGGGTCAGTTCTCCAGCAAGAATTCGGCCTCCCAGACCAGACCAGAGCCATGCCTGGGGAAAAAGTCAATATCCTCTCCCCAAAACTAGGAAGGCAAAGAAATGAGATCTGCTTAGAGAACCAGGATTTCTGGACCCATAGTGTTAACGGATCCGACCAGTTTTGGGACAGCTTCCCTTCCAAACCTTTCACTAGCACCCGGGTGCAGCCCCTGAACCATTATATTTCCAACATGAGCCTGCCACCAACCCCGTTCAGTCTTTCTGCCTGAGGAGAGGAAAGGGAAAACAGAGGCAGTTGACCCAAAAACAATAGAAGCTCCCAAAATGATGATTCACAGTCCATTCACAGCTTGACACCTCAGTGTGAGGATGGGGAGACCAAGGTTTGATATCAGGACTGAGCCTGGGCCCATTGACAATACAGCTTTCTAAGGAGCAGCTCTGCCTCTCACAGGGACTTCTGTGTGTGTCTGTGGGGTGGAGACCGAGGCTCAGCTATGATGCCACCCAGCCTTGCCCAGTGTCCCTCTCCCAACGCATGTCACTCAGGTTCCATCCCCTCCCTAAACTGAAATCCTGAGGGGTGCCCCTTCCTGGGGATAGTCCTAGACCCACCCTTGTCCAAGGAGCCCAATTTCCTTGTCCTCCCATCTGCTGGGTGTCTGAGGTCACCCTTCTTTCTGCCTCTTACTGTCTTGATGCACAACACAGACACACTACCTGACCCCACACACATGCTATGCTCATTCTCAATCGCTTGTCCTCTTCCCTTTTACACTCACGCTAACTAGTGGTCCTGGCCCTGCTCTGCTCACACTGCAGGCCACACACAGTGACCCCGGTGACCCAGAGTCTCTCTCACACACAATCATACGTACACGCTCCGCCTGTCTCAGACACACAGAGCCCCTCTGTGTCACTCACTCTGCTCCGCGTCACCGCCCAGTGTCCCGGCCACACGTCTGCCTAAGCCAAGCCGCCTCACGCGCCGTGTCACCCACAGTCACGGGCTGACACCTTTCAGACGCCCCACCCCCCCGCCCCGCGCGCCGCAGCCGCACAGAGGCGCCGCCGCCCCGTCCCGCATCCCATCCTGGTCTCTGTCCAAGTTTCCCGGGCCAGGGCGGCTCCGGACTCTGCCCGTCCTTCACACTGCAAGTTCCCCCTGCTTCCCCGCCACGCACCTTCCGACAGACACTGCGCAGGGCCGGGCCCGTAGTCTCGGCGCAGGACACGCAGTCCCAGCCTGGGGCTCACAGGCCGGCGGAGCGAGGGCGCAGAGGGCGCCGGGACAGGCACGGGCAGGGGGCGTGCGCCCCGGGTTGCCGCATCCGCCGCGCGGGCGAACTTCCTCAGAGACGGGAAGGCAGGGGCGCATCCCGCGGGCAGGACTGCGGCCCCGGGCTGCAGGCCCCGCGCGCCCCCCTTACCTGGACGCGGCAGTTCCAGGTTGGCCCCGCGTCCAACGCTGCCCCGGGGGCCACCTCAGCTCGCGCACAGGAGGCAGCGCAGCCTGCGCGCCTTTTGAATGAATCGCCAGCCCGGCAGGCAGCCGCGCAACCCCGCCCCTCGCGTCACAGCTGCCGGCTCCGCCCCCTACGTCAGAGTCCCGGCTCTCACCCGAGCCCCTACCGAGTGTCCGCGGAGGGCCCTGCTCTCCGGCCAAGCCAAACTGCTCTAGGTCGCCACCTGTCGAGCCCTTTAGGAACTGCAGAGCTGCGCAGTAGCCGGGAGCGCGACTCAGGGCGCGTCTCCGGTGGGCGCCTTGAGAGCTCTACCCCACGAACGGATTGTACAATGCACTAGAGAGGCATGTGAGCCTTGCTGAGTTCAGTGGCGCATGCCTGTTATCCCAGAGAATCACAAGGCTGAGGTAACAATCGCTGAGATAAGAATTACTAACCCAACCTGCACAACTTATCAAGATTCTGTGTGAAAATTTAAACAAGGCGGGGGGTGAGATATAGCTCAGTGAGAGCCTCTGAATTCAATCCCCTCTACTGAGTTGGGTGGAGAGACTGCAGTCTTGAATATTGCCCGGGTCCTGCCACCTGGAAATGAGCGACCAGAGAGTATAACCCACTTTGCCTTCCTTGTCAGATGAGACTCATATAGTTGGCAAGGAGAAAAAGGGCCTACGAAGGGTGTTTACCATGAAGGAGGCCCACCCCTGGGCTCCTGGACATTCCTCTGGGCTCAGATCAAATCCCCACCCCTCTCTGCTAGGGCAGTTAGTCCTTATCTCCAGCAAGACAGTGACACACTCCTCTCCCTTCCACCAACTGTCCCACAGTGCCAGCCATCAGAGTGCCCAGCTGGGCAACAGCTGGAGGCATAAACTGCACAAACCCAGGCCACTATTCACATTATATTCCCAGCTCTGTGAACGGTGTGTCTGTTTGAAGGTGTATGCCAGAGGTAGCAGTGCACCAACGACTGTCCCCAACTCTGCCATTCATAGAGCTCAGGTGACTCTCCCAGAGCTGGAAGAGACTCAGAAAGCAAGGAAGGCCTACTGCTGGGAACAGAGACCTGGCTACAGTAAGATAATCACAGCCTGAGAAGGGAGGAGGAGGAACTTAAGTAAGTCTTTTGGGGATAGATGGGCTAGGGCTGGGGTTTTAAACAAACAGTCTTAGAATCTGAGCCACATTCAGGACTGGAAAGGTCAGGTTCCCAGGGTCCAGGAAATTCCAGAAGGACTAGACACCTGTGTGGGGAGGGAGGTAGAGGAAGAGTTTTCATTTCCTTAGGCAGAGCCCAGCTTGTGGAGAAGGGCAGAGGAAACTCCAGGTTACTGGTGTCAGGGTCATGGCCCCTTGTCAATGGGGCAGCCAGGAGCAGGCTTGGGCATGTGGATTATTTAAGCCCCACATCCTATTTTATGGAGGAACTCTTAGGAGGGCTGATACTGGGTCCCAGTGAGGAGGCCAGAGCAGCCCAGGATGCCTCCTACTGTTAGAAATGTTTTCTTGGTCAGAGGACCTTTTATGCCCCATTCCCAAGTTCTAGGGTCAGATAGTGGCATTTCAGAAACCACTTAATAAACCAAATAGGGACATACTTTTTGGTCAAGGAGTACTGGCAACTCATCATAGGTTCTAAAGGAGGTCCAGGCCCCTATCTACCACCAACTTTAAATTCCCCCAACTTAGTTCCTCATCTGAACACTGGGGTGCCAAAACTTGTCACCCCAAAGTCATTCTAGTTCTCTGTGGGAGGAGAATTAGAATGGCCACGCTGGCTCCATAGGGCAGGTCTCCAGAGTGGAAGCCTGCACACTTCCTGCCCCCGCACCCCTCCGGTTATGAAGGAACCTAATTATTATTTACTGTTGGTCAGGATGGGCCACATCCTCCTCCGACTGACTCTGATTCCCAAGTCCATGAAAGAAGTGGCCCTCCCGAACATCTGTGAGGATACAGAAGGGAGGTGTGGAGATACAGGAGAGATTCAGGCTAGCTTTTCGTGGATCTCCGAGAGCCCCAGGCTCCAGAATCACAGGCTTTCTAACATCCTGGCGTCTCAAGTTGACCCACAAAATCTTCAGACTTCTTGTTGAATCTCACATAGTATAGCTAGGAAAGTGAGCCCAGAGAAGACCTGCACTGCCACACCTCATTGTAGGTGGCACAGCATGAGTCCCCAGGAAATTGGGGTGACCTATGATGGTGACCTAGAGGCAGGGGCCATGGGAATTAGGTTGTTTGTGAGGAATCTGAATGGGTGACTGCTTTGGGGGAGTGGGGCATCTCCTGCTGGCTGTACCAGATTCAAAATGGAAAAACCTGATATCCATGGGGTAGTGGTTCCAGGACCCCTAGAGATATCACAATTTGTGATGCTCAAGTCTCATATAAAATGGCATAAGTTTGCATGAAACCTATACATATGCTCCCCTAAACTTCAAATCAATCTCTAGATTACTTATACACCTACTGCAATGTAAATACTATGTAAATAGTCATTATACTGTATTGTTTAGAGGATGACAACAAGGAAAAAACCTGTATCTGTTTGGGACAGACACAACCATCATAAATCTAACTAAATGGTTGGTTGAATCTGCAGATGCAGAAGTCATGGACACCAAGGGTCAACTATACAAGGCTGGAACAAGAAGTTCAGACTTGGATTTCAGTGCTCTGCCCTAGGCTGACACCTAGCAGGCCAAGTCTTGCTCCTCCTAAAGCTGTGCTTCGGATACTGTGTTTGTGCCTTAGCTCCCTGGGGAAGGGCTGTCTAGGGAGGACTGGGGAGCAGGCAGTGAACTGGCATCAAGGATCAGTTTCCAGCCTGCTAGGTCTGGATTCCTACTGGAGTTGGAGTCTGAAGTCTGGGTCCCCTCAGGCCTCCTACGCTCATTGGGCTCCAACACTCTCAGCAATACCTTGCCTGAGCCTGGCCCTATTGGATCATCTGTCTGATGTTCAGGAAGGCAGGATTGAGGGTCTCTTGGGTCTATGGTGAGTTTGAAAAAGGAGCCCAGAGCCACCAACAGTAGGTGATGGGGGGTTGAAAAGTCAAGGACCGGGAAGTGCATGGCAATGCGCAGGGAGGCAGGTGCTTGCTGAAGCATTTGGGGTTCAGGAGCCTGGAGAAGAGAAATCTCAGGGAAAATGGAGGTCGACATGCTTTACTGTGACAGTAGAAGAGCCTGCCATTGCCAGTTCTGCCCTTGGCTAAAATGGCCTTAGGCAAGTGACTTTACCTCTTTGAGAACGAGCTCACCCAGCCAGGGGGTTATGTGGATCTGCAGAGACCATATGTTGGAGGTGACAGTTTCTTCCAGGCCACTGACTCTGGAGCCCCAGTCTGTCACCTCTCGTCCCCTTCCCTAGTCTGTGCTTTCCCCGAGTATCTTCCTACAGCCTGCTCCTTGATGTCAGTTCACTGTCTTCCGCCCCAATCCATCCTGCAGTTCCTCCCACACCCCGGGATACCCAGGCACTTGCCTTTGCTGGTAAGGGCTCCTTATTGGCCACAACTGAGCCCAAAATAGCCCTTCCCTTTGCAGCTTCCTGAAGTCAGTCCTTGGCTTAAGTCTGGGAGGACAGAGAGAGATTTGGTGTTTGGCAGGCATGCAAAAGATGCAAAGGGCTCTCAGAGGTCAGCTGGGTCCAGAGAGGGCAGGCCCTTGTCCTGGATCACACAGTGAGGAGGGGCCAGGACTGGAGCTTGTGCTCAGGCCTTGGGTCTCCCATTTCCTCCTGGGCCCTTGCCTGGGGGTTTGCTGCTTCTCTTCCCAAGCTCTGTGGATCTACAGACCGGGATACTCAGGCTGGTTTGATGTGTGATGGTAGCCAGCTAATCTAGTCTCTTGCCTCCCTTGGTTCCTAGGGTCACTTCCTGACTTTTCTCACCAAGGAAACCTTCCTGCCTTACTGTTCCCCAGCCTGACTGCTGTCTTACTGTGTGACGTCAGGTAAATCTCTGCCCATCTCTGTGCTTCATCTTCCCAGGAGGCACATGGTCCTGCGTAACCCTGCTGTCTGTCCCTTCCCTAAGGGACTACCTGGAAAGAAGAGATGACCTTTGGCCTAGACTCCTCTGTGCGACCCTTCCCAGGGTTGCTATAAGAAATGTGAATGACATCGTATGAGTGACCAGATGTGATTGCTCAGCTCTCACCTGTCCTCCAGCCTTCCATATGGCCACCCTTCCTCTCTTCCATGAGGCATGGAGACCTGAGCAAAGCAGATGTGAGTCCACGTTTTATCCTGTAGTGGTAAGGGGACCTTGAAGAAGATGGTAACCTCTCTGTACTATTTCTGACACTGGAAAGAGGGTAGCAATGGAACCCCCCTCCCAGACAATTATGAAGCTCCAGGCTTCATAATTAACAGTAAGTGGAAGCTGGAAATCTGGATTTTTTTCAGATCCAACTCAACAAGTATTCATTGAGCATCTACTAGGCCTGGGAATGGAAGAGAACAGTCTTCCATCCCAGAGTTCCCACTCTAGCTTCCTCCCTTTCCTCGTGGGTCTGCACAGGGACTCCTTGCACCAGGCTCTTGCACTGTTCCTTGTTCTGGTTCAACTGTTGCCTCAACATCAGGCCCAGACAACATCTGCTTTGTCCCCCATCCCACCCCCTCGGGGGCAGGCCACAGATGCCCTCTTTGAAGTAATAGCTTTCCATCATGGCTGGCAAAACAGCCCCACAGTGTCTGAAGCCAGGGTGACCAGGAGGATGATAAGCAGTGTGACAGGATGTTGTTTCTTTGTTTGTGTTCACTTTATTAACATTCATTGAGCTGCATACCAATGTGTACTTTCTTATATAAAAGTTATACTTCAATAAAAAGTTTCCAATAATACTGATAGCTGGATTCCTCCTGAGGGTTCTGACTGCATTGGTTGCAGGTGGGCCTGGCCTCCTAGCTGAAAACCGTGGTCTGTGCTGGGCTGAAGATCTGAGGCTTCCCTCCCCACAGCTGACCGGCTCAAGCTGAGCACCTGACTGTGGGCAGTTGTCTCAGGTCGCTGTTCAAGTAAGAGCAGGCTGTTCCCTTGAGGACTGAGTCCTCAAGTTGGGGACGCGGCAGATCCACTTTCGGTATGTTGTACCGAAACTGAAATCTGGGCCAGACCTCTGTTTAGGGACTGGGGAGTCTTGTGGCAGCAGAAGTTGTGAAACACTGGAGGCAGTTGGCTGGCGGCACTGGAGAAGCCAGAGGCTCGTAGGGCAGGGGCCAAAGGTCCCAAGTTGGAGGTCTGCTGTCTGCTGCACCATCCCCTCCAAGTCACTTGCTGCCAGTCTGTCTTCAAGGAATCTCTCCTTGCAATCTGAAGACCCGTGGACACCAAGCAACCATCCTGTTCTGGAAAAAATTATGAGCCCCATTTTACAGATGAAAACAGCTCGGACAGCTACAACCCACCGAGTCATATACTATAGCTGGTTGATGACAAAGTCGAGACTCCACACAGGATCTGTCCTATTCCAAAGCCCGTGGTCCTTGTTTGTTTTCATCATAAATTACATATGAACATTGCCTTCTACTCTGTAACAGACCTGCTTCATCTCCTCCTCCTGGGAAAATGATATTCTGTGGTGTTGATGACCCAGCAAACCCCTGTCTGCAATCAGTCTGCAAAGCATGAGTCTGCTCCCCCCTGCAGGACCTATTTCTTTTTTAAGTGCTGGAGATCAAACCCAGCATGTTACGTACTAAACACTTGCTCCATCCCAGCATTTTTCAGGCAGTTGCTTAGGCTGAAGATGTTCATGTGGGTTTTGCAGAGCTGACACATGGCCTGCCCTTTGGAGTCAGTCTTTGTGGGTGAACCATGACATGAAGGGCTCTTTGGTGCTGTGTGGAGTGGCCTCATGTTGCCTTTGCATTGTTATGTCTCACTGAATGACACACCTCTTTGGCCCAGAATCAGACTTGGATTCTACCTTTGCATGGAAAACTGGACTCACCTTGGTCTTGGTCAGGGTTCACTAGCCACGAGGCTTCACTGGAGAAAGCATTTCCTGGAGGAGCCTTGGTCTCTACTGCCCTGATCATTTGGCTGCAGTTATCAGCTTCAGCTTTCCAAGCCCATCCCAGACTGATGGGAAGCTTTTGTTTGATACATAAATTACACATGCACTGTGTTTGCATTATGTTGTACATTTGCATATGTCAACCATAAGGGATTCTAATAGGTTCCCAGTTACAAAGCACTGGACTAGCACAATTCCTTCATTTTCCCAAAAGGAAACTACAATTCCGACACATATGGTGACCTGTCCAGGGTAACACAGTAAGTCAGTGGCAATCTCACCACTTCAGCATGACCTGTGGTCTCCAAGGCTTGCCATTCTGCCCAAGTGAGTCGGTGTCGGGAAGCCCGAGCGGCTGGGAGGAGGCCACTATGGCTGCCAATGGGGAGCAGTCATTTGGTATTTCTATTTATTGACTCTTTAAATTTCATCATCCAAGAAGAGTTAATACATGACTGTTTGGTAGCAAGAGAAACATAATCTAAGACCACAATGACCCACCCCCCTCAACAAAAACAAACAGAACAAACCAACCCCACCTGAAACCAGACCTTTGGAGTTGTAGCTGAAGCGAGGGGCTGAGAGTCAGAGTGGCTCCCTGCAGCCTGGGAGGCAGGGGAGAAGCTAACCTCAAGTGGAGGCTTCCCATTTGAAGAGGCCATGCTCAGCCTCCCAGCACTGGGAGTACTTCCTAAAGCGGCTGCCTCTGACAGGAGGGTTCCTAAGGAGAGGATTCAGTGGTCAGAGTGAGGGGCTCCTAGGTCTACCCCCACGGTGACCATCTGTGCCAGTGCACGAGACACAGGAAGGCAGGAGCTGCGGGCTGGAGCCAACTGCAAGGAATGAGGGCCTTTTCTCTCACCTGAGAGAAAGCCCTGTCCAAGGTTCCATCAGTGTTCTCAAATTAAGAAACCACTGAAGGCACCACCAACACACTGGAAATGCTAAAGCCTGGGTCACAGGAGTTGCAGCCCCCAGTAAACATCATTTTGTCCGGGATGACTGAGGGTGCCTGGTCCTTGCCTATAGGTCAGGATGGGTAGCCCCATCACGATGAACTGGAAAGTTGTTATTAAGGGGTGGTATTTGGTGCCCTGAACATGCAGAGTGTGAGAAACTCTGTGTGTGTGTGTGTGTGTGTGTGTGTGTGTGTGTGTCATAGGGGGAGACACTGGTTCCTCCAGAAGGCTTGGATAGGTCCCCAGATGGCTCCTTGGGCAGGAACAGGTTTTTTCCCCCTCCTGTCATTTCCTCACATCACACTCTGCCCCAGGTCATGGCATAAATAAGTGCTTTGGAAAGAATTCATCTAAAAAGGAATATAAATACTGTACATGGGAAAGGATGCTATCCTCAGCCTTCTGCTGCCCCCAGAAAAATCCTCCAAATATTGCACATGGCCCTCCCCAGCCTCGTGGAGTCCAGGCCGGCCGTGTCTTTGGTAGAAGCTCCAGGGACAGAGGTCCTGAGCAGCCCTCATGCCCCCACCTTGGTTATACCCGGGAGCACTGGAGCAGCCAGTGGGTCGGGGAGGGTTGGCTGGCCGGCGGTGTTCCAGCAGGAATGCTTCCGTGAAGAAGAGAGGAGCCCACGCAGCCACGGGTGTGCTCCTGCCAGACGCTCCTGGTCAGGGTCTGCGTGTGGGCGAGGGAGAGGCAAGCAGACTGAGCGCAGGTGGGCAGGTGAGTCCTGGGCCACAGTGCACAGGGTCACACCCTCCACAGGAGGAGGTGGTTTGTGCTGTCATCTCGGCCCACAGTCTCACTGCTGCCACTGCCCCCACTGCTGAGCCGGAAGTCCTCATAGCCGTCACCTCCACTGATAACCAGCATTTTAGGCCGAGCCGAGGTGGGGCCTCGGTGTCGAGGGGAGTCCCAGTGCTCCAGGGATGGCAGCTTCTCAGGGCCTGGGGGACACAGGGGAGGATCCATCAGCCTGAGGGGACTGTGGCTTTACTGTTCCATTATGAACTGAGCTTCTGTACTCCAGAAGACAGCAAGAAAGACCTGACATTTCCTATGAGGGACATTTCCTGCTAGCTAAGAGCTTATTTGGAAAGAAATGCCCACTTTCTTGGCAGTCAGGTTTCTTAATTCCCTCCCAAATTTTCTAGCTAGGAATTATCTAACTTCCCGGGGCCACACCTGTTTCTTGATTACTGCACATGTATGTATGTACTCCTGTGATAATTAAGTGCAGTCACAAGCTGAATAGCAATGTTTCAGTTGATGGTGGACTACATATATGATGGTGGCCCCGTAAGATTTTAAGAGAGCTGAAAAATTCCTATTGCTAGGTGGGTGTGGTGGTGCACACCTGCAGTCCCAGCACTCGGGAGGCCGAGGCAGGAGAATCACTGTGAGTTCGAGCTCAGTGTAGGTTACATAGTGAAACTGTCTCACAAAAAAAAAAAAAAAAAAAAAAAAAAAAAAAAAAGTCCTATTGCTAGTATCTTTTAAAAAAATGGCATTGGGCTTAAACCTAGAAATGTCAGACTGAGCTATATCCCAGTCCTTTTTTAAATTTTGAGACAGGATCTCGCTAAGTCACTAAGTTGCCCAGGCTCAAACTTCTGATCCTTCTGTCTCAGCTTCCCAGCATGCTGAATTAACAAGTGTGCACCACCATACCCAGCTGACTGCTGTAGCCATTTTAGGTCACAGCTCAACACATTAATCAAGGGTCCATAACGATACTGGCATAAACAGATCTACTGTTACCAGTTCTATAAATGTAGAACACATACAGTTTTGTATAATATCTAACATCAAAATTGCCAGTAAACAACTATGGTATTGGTTATGTATGGGGATGCTGGGGATTGAGCCTAGGCCTGTGCATGCTAAGCAAGCTCTCTATCACTGAGCCACAACCCCAGCACTAGATTTCCTAAACTTTTTTTTCTTTTCTTTTTGCAATAAAATCTTGCTAAATTGATCTTGAACTTTCTATTCTCCTCCCTCAACCTCCTGGAATTCCAGGCATGTACCACCATGCCTGGATAAACTCAACTTTTTTTAATTCTTTTTTTTTTTTTTTTTTTTGTTCTTTGTGCCAGGAATCGAACTTAGAACCTCGCACTTGCCAGGCAGGCACTTATGCCTCAGAGCTAAATCCCCGGCCCTTAAACTAAACTTTTTATTGTTGTTTTGCACTACACTATTTCCGCAAAAAAATTTTTAACTCTGAAGTTTGCCCTATTATGTTGGCAGAGACTCATATATCTAATGTTACTGTATTTCTCCACTGCATCATCTTCTCGTGTCCTTGATTTTTATCTTGTATTATTTTGCTCATCATGGCCCCAGGCGTAATAGGCTAAAGCATTTATATGTAATACACCATATGGTCTAGCTGCAGGGTAGGTACACCATCTAGGAGGGGTGAGTGTACTCCGTGATGTTCACACCTCGATGAAACTGCCTAACAAAAGTGACATGTGTCCCAGTTTTTAAGTGGTAGAGAACTGCATACTCTTCCTGTTTCTAATATCCATTTCCCCTCTTGGTAACTGAAGTCTTCTTTAGACCTAACAACTTCTGGCTGAAGTTTACTGCTTCCCAATTCCCACAGCCTGTTCCTTTTGGGAATATGTTTTCTGATTGTGAAAGACTTCTTTGTTTTACTTTTTTAAATGGGGTTTTGCTATGTACTTTAGGGTGGTCTTGAATTTACTATGGAGCCCAGCCTGGCCTACTCATGGTGATCCTCCTGCCTCAGCCTCCCCAGTGCTGGGATTATAAGTGTGTGTCACCACATCCAGCTTTGTGCAAGACTTTTCTGATTGTGATTTCCGGATGGACTTCATTTCTCACGACTGCACTTTCTAATTCTCATATGCTACACCCTGTTATCTATGTCACTTTATGTCCTCTTTTCTGGTACTATTTCATTTCCTGCTCTGTATATGACTTCCTGAGGCTACTTCCTGCCCTATACATCATTTCTAGTGTTATATTTCCTGTTGCATATAAAAAAATATACAATATATTTCCTACAAACATATCTTATCTGTGCTATATTTTACTTCTTAGCTTATAGTTTACTTCCTGTCTCCCAAGACACTTCTTTGAACAGAACTTTATGTACATAAATATACAGACTCAATGCACACATTCAATACATATACAGTATCCTAGAAGATTTCATTTTGGGAGTGTTTATACTTTTCCCCTGTTTTGTGTGATGCTGAAGATCAGACCCAGGGCCTTACATATGCTAAGTAAATAGTCTATGGCTGAGCTAAACCCCAGCCCATCTTCTCTCTTACACTCTTCTAGAAGGACAGCAAGAAGCCCTAACCCAAAAGTCCAGAATCCCTGGGCTGGGGTAGGATGCACAGACCCACCTATGTCTGAAGGAGGCGGTGGGGTCGGGCAGAGAAGGTTGAAGCCATCTGGCAGCTGGACTGCAGCCAGGAAGCGAACATGGCCCGTGTGCCCCTGGCCTAGGCCAGCAGGGCTGAGAGGTGCTCGTGGGCAGCTGACAGTACTGGGGGAGGTGGGCATCGTGAGCACCACGCCAGCACTGGTACCCACCCACAGCAGCTCTTCACACACCAGCAGCGCTGTGATCCGCAGGCAGGCAGCCTTGTGCTGCCGGATGATGGCATCTGAGCCTGTGCGGGAAAGAGATAAGCTCTGGGGCAGACTGGTGGCCCAGGCTCTGCCTCTTCAGTGGGGGTGAAGGCTCTAAGGAAAGGTGTGGTGGTATTTGAGGTCAGTACCTGCCAGCATCCTGTGCACAGGAGGGGTGACATCCACCTCTGCCAGCTGCTCAAAGGTGTCTGGATGGTAGAGACACACATGAGCACTGCCTTTCAGTGTCACCCACACACCCAGGCTGGAGTCCACCATGCAAGCTACACTTCGGCTTGAATCCTGCCCCACACAGAATGTATGCTGTGGGTGAAAAGGCAGAGAGTAGACTGGTGACGTGCTGGCCTGTCCCCTGATCCCCTGTGCATCCCCTCCTAACAATGCCCATCAAAATCTACATGATCCCATCGGGACTGGCAGCCCAGGCCATGTTGGCCCTGGTCTGGCTGATAAGCCGTCCAAAGCTTGGTGCACAGGTGCCCCCATTCAGCCTGTGGAAATTAAAATGAGGCGCTCTTTCCCTGTGCACCTCAAGTGACATAAGGCTCACAGAACTTCAGGCCTGTAAGAGTCTTAAGACTGGTCATAGGCCTCTCCCCAACAGATGAAGCCCAGCTTATTGGGGAAAGCAACCTGACCAAGGTCACACAGGAGCTGTGTCATCCATGGAGCTGGGGCCTGAACCCAGCCAATGAGGCAATGAAAGGGAAAGCAAAGTGACTTATTGCTCCAGGACACTGCCTGGGCCAGAAACCTCTGGCAGGCATGAAATGAAACCATGATTCCATGCCACAGTCTAATGCAAAGGGTTGGAAACATCAAGAAGGATCCAGGAGACCTCAATACCTGTGCTGACAAGAGAGGGTGGGTGGGAGGCTGACTAACGAGTCCTAACAAACGTGGCACTTACTGTCTTCTTCATCAGCTAGAGAAGAAATGAGGGCCAGAGAAGGACCGGGACCAGCTCAGCATCACATGGGGTCAGGGGAAGTGGCCAGCCCTTGGCTGAATGCTCCCCCGCCCCCAGGGCTCACCTGCCTCTCAGGTGGACCCAACTTATCCAAAGGCATTCATTCCCTCTCCCTTCCCCTGCTACCTCTAGCTGCAGCGTGTCGGGGCTCAGAACAAGGACTCGATTCTGGCAACCACACCACAGCCGCCCACCCACAGACACCATCTTGCTGATGGGGCTCCCCTGAGCACCCAGGGTCACCGACTTGAAGTTCTGGGGGTCCCAGAAACGACCTGGAGGGGGAGTAGGGTGAAGAAAACAGGAGATTTAGTACAGTACTGAATTTAAGTCCCACCTTCCCTGAAATGAGACGTGAACATCCATTTGTAAGTGAGGACACCAAGGCCTGGAAGCTGTCCAAAGCCACATCTCTAGCCCTAGGAGAGGGAGGCCCTCACTTTGCCCAGGAGAGAGCACCACTATGAGTAAGGGTACCAGGGCAAGCAGGGCACAGGGACACCTACCTGCTTCTCTCTGGTAGACGACAAGTTCTCCATTGGCCAGAGACACAAACACCTGATTATTCAGATACCTGTGCAGGGAAAAGGAGAAGTCAGGGATTTTGGGAGGGTGGGTTATTTGGACACTACATGTCCATGGCTCCTGAGAGACCATCTCCTCTCACCCCATTCTCCAGATGTGATAAGCCTGAGGCTAAGAACAGGCAGCAACTCGCCCAGGCTCACAGTGTGTAAGAGACACAGCTGGGAGGTCACAAGGCTCTGTCCTAGGACCTCCCTTGAAAGGAGGGGTTGATAAGGCAGGGGGCCCAGGTGGACAGGGAGACCTGGGTATATGATGGTAAAGGGTCTGGATGGGAAGAGCGCATGGGGGCCTTACAGGATGCAGGTCACAGAGGCTGCATGCTGGAGCTTCATGCTGTTCCGGCGGTCACGGATGCTGTCAGAGGACTGGTACACATGGACACTGCAGATCAGGGTAAGCACTTGTGACAAAGGCTTACATACACAGTCCCGGGAGTTACCCCTCCACCTTTCTCCCCTGCACCAGATGCCCGTACAATATAACAGATCCCACAGCTCGCTGGGGGTTTTAGGTCCTGGTTGTCAGGACCCCTGAACCCTAACCCTAGGCCCTCCTGTTTCTGCTTCAGAACAACATGTGACTTCCAGAGCATGAAGCTCAATTCTGACACTCCTCCCCTGCCCCTACCAGCCATCCTCAGTGCCCAGCCACACAGAGCTCTGGTAGGCCTCCGGGTCCACACTCAGCAGGTCCTCAAGGCTGCCCCGTGTGAAGGAGCCGTGGCTGGAGCGGCGCAGGGCTCTCCCATCCATTGGGCTGGTGCCACAGGGTCCACTGGGCCCGAAGGAGCTAGACAGTGGCAGGAAGCCAGGCTCTTGCTCTTCCTCGGAGCTGGTCGTCTCTGCTGTGGCCTCTTTGGAGCTTGGGGTCTCCTCGTCTGAAGGGGACAAAGGTCTCTGTCTTCATTCCCTCTACTAGGCCAGAGACCTGATGTCTCTTAAGCCTCAGTGTCCCCTTACTGTTCCTTCTGCATCCCCTCCTGAGGGCCTTCTGCAAGGCTCAGGCCTTGTTATCCTGCTGACAGTGACCGTACCTATAGGTTCCTAGTCCTGGCTGCCATTAGACTTGGCCAGGGGGACCAACCAGTCCACTTAGTGATCCATCTGCCTTATCTGGGCACTCCAGCACCTTCATGATCCCGCCTGCCTATCCCACTGTTTTCTGGGTTCTCCGTGTCACAAGCCTGGTGCACCTTGCTGGCCACCACTGCTCTGAGTGTTAGCATCCTGAGATCTGACTTCAACCTTAGCCTCCACTGGCCTCTCCTCACCCACTACTCCACCTGCTGCCAGCCCCAAGTCCAGCACTCACTGCCAAAGCTGGAGGAGATAGTGGACCGGCTGGCTTGGCTCTGCAGCGTCCCCGAGGGGCTGGGTGAAGACTCATCATCAGAGTCGCTGTCAAAAGGCACCAACTCAGGGCGGGAGTCACCCTCAGTGGGGCCAGGCGCCATCTCCAAGCCAGAGCCTGAGATGGAGATGTGCAGGCAGGGTTGTGACCCCGGCTCGGCCATTGCCACTGCTTCTTCCTCTGCTGTAGCCTCAACATCCAGCTCCTGCCCAGCTGGCTCTGAGGCAGTCTCTGGGGGGTTCCTCAGCGATTCTGGATGCTCCCTGAGAAACCCAAAAAGAGTAGGGAGAGAGTGGTTAGGAGGTGCTGCAGAGGCACTTAGACAGACCCCATCCAAGAGGACCTCAGAGTGGGTGAGCGCTGACTCCCAGGCCCCAGCACACCAATCCTGGGTCTCACCGGTGGCAGTGGGGCTGCAGGCCGGGCACTGCCCCGATGCAGAGGATGCGGGCCGAGCAGACAGCGATGCAGGCCTCCACGTCAGGCTCAGCACGCAAGCTCAGCAGGCACACCTGGCCCACGTAGCCGTCGCTGTTGCACACCCACACCTCAGGTGTGGGCTCTGGGCAGCTGCTGAGGGTGGGAGCCGCACACGAAAACTGCAGGGGCACCAAAGGACAACAAAAGGTAAATAGAGGAGCTGCTGCCAGCATTCCTTGTAGTAGGTGATCCCAAGGAACGCAAGGAGGAGGGCCTGCATCGGTATGTGTGGACGCCCCACGCATTCCTCTGCTCTTCTCCACACAGAGCACGCAGCACACATGACACTCTATATGTCAAATGCACTCACGCTGCATGACACAAGCCTCACCCACAAGCCTCACCCATACTCACGAGCCTCACTGCCTGTCCATATATTCCCTGAATATGATCATGAATATTAACAAATATGATACTGGTAACCTTAGAACATATGTATGCAGACTCATGCAAGTGCATAAATGAGACACATCTCATCGATCCTATAGCCTTTTTTCATACGAACAGATATAGACACTTAAGAAACACACTCTTGAGGTCCACATGCACAGAGAGAGCAGTATACTTGAAAGACAGAAAAAAAAAAAAGAAAGACATAGAAAGGAATTGTAACTTTTAAGACACATACACAATGCTGTATACAGAATGAAAATTCATGAACACACACTGGCTTTGACACACACATACATATGACCCATGTGCGTACACAGACCTGCATGCCACTGCGGGTTTTCATGATGGGGATGGCCTTCAAGAACTCAGGGTCTAGGCAGCTTTTGCTGGATGCTGTAGTGGAGATGGATGAGCAAATAGACAAGGGAAGGGACAGGCAAAAGGATACAGATCCAGCTTAGCATCCACCTCACCCTGGTCCTGCCCCAGCCCCATTTCCTTTCTTCCCCTAACCCTCAGGGTTATCTAGGAAGGGCCTGATCTTAGGTAAAATAGTGAGTGGATTTTGTCCTGTTGCTCCTGGCCTCAGTATTTCCATTTTTATAACAAGGGTGTCACACCTAGAAATCTCTATGCCATGGATCCAACAGCTTTCCTTGGTACAGCCATGAGTGGTGGTGGGGTGGGGAGGGTCTGGTCTAGTCATGATGGCACTCCTGCCCAAAATGACCCTGTCTATGGGGTCCCCTCCCCATCAGGGAGGACCTAAGGAGACCACAGTTAGTATCTAGTCCCATGTTGCACTGCAGAAATCTCAGTTCACCCTCCCCACCAGCTGCTGGAGCACAGGACACTGCAGTTCTGGGGCTTTAGGCTTCTGAAGTCAGACGCTGCCTGAAGTCTCTAGGAGGAGACGGCTGGTATGGGCCCTGGCTCACCCAGCTTCCTTTTGGCCTCATCAAAGGCCTGCTCAAAGCCTAGGCGGGCATCAGGGTGGGGGAACTCAAAGATGAAGGAGTCGGTGCCCTCTGGCCGGGTGGCACACAGCTCCAGCTTGGTAGGTGGGAAGGAAAGCGCGTAGCACAGAGCCTGCTTCTCTGACAGGTCCCGGTGCATGGCAGCTGAGAGGTCCCGCAGCGCATCATCCAGATTCTGTGGGGAAGAATGCCCAGGCCTTAGGTCTGAGGTCTCACATAGCCAGCACTGGCCCTTGGGAATATATGTGGGGTCTGACCTTTTCCTTCAGAGGTCCCACTTTCTAGTATGACACTGTCTTCTGCCTTAGACCGAGAGGAAACCAGGATTTTCCCCAGACAGGGGCTGGACTGTGTTTCCCCTCCAGTGACATGGAGCCATGCCTCTACCTTCAGACCTAGGACAGTAACTTCTCTCAAACCAGTCAGGCTGTAATTTTCCCCTTCTGATAAATGACAGGGGTTTCTCCTCCCTTAGGCAAATGCGCAAGGCTGTGTCTTTCCCTCAGAGCGTGTAAAGGAGCCCCCACCCCCACCCCTTGCCTCAGGCACAGGGCACAGACCTGGTGGGGGAAGCCAAGGCTCTCAGAGAGCTTGCTCATTTGGCCCAGAGTGGTCAGGTCTTCATCCAGGCGGCTGATGGCCTTTTGGATGTTCTCCCGATTGGTGGCTTGGGACGCCCCTGGTGGGGACAGAGAAGCCCACGGGCAGACAGGTAGAAAAGGTCAGACATTCTTCTCTCACTGCACAACCCGCAGCTAGACAAGAGGACTGGCCCAACAAACTTACAGACTCCATGTCCTCAGGAACACCATTAATAGTTAAGCCAGCTTCTAGATTAACCCCAGGCCTGACTGTGGGGCTGGGCCTATTCAGAGCCACATGGCAAAGGATGTCTGGCCGTTAGAGACACTGCAAGAGCACAAAGTATGTAACAGCAGACAGCTTTATAGGTTATGCAGGCTCTGGCAGGCACTAGGCTGCGGCAGGTGCAGCCAGCCACGGCAGAACTGCCAAGCAGGCAGAGCCTCAGGCAGTCAAATCTGCTGACCAAGGGACCACATCCTCACAAAGGAGGGAGCAATAAGCTGATGCTCTGAATTTCTCTGGTCTTAGCTTGCTCCTGCCCATTGCCAAATGGCTTGCCCGCCCCACCCTCGCTGCCTGCCTATACTCTGGACCAGTGGCCCAAATGTGGGGCTGTTCCTCCCTGCACACCAAGTCTTCAAATCAATAGACAGGGAGATTCTTTCTTTTGTGCTGTTTCCTAAATAACACGCTTTTTGTTTTGTCTTTTTCTCCCTATCTCCTGTTCTTACAGAGTATACTGGTGGTGAATATATATTTTTTTGTCTTTTTGAGACAAGCTCTCACGCAGTTCAGGCTGGCCTTGAGCTCACTTTGTAGCCCAGGTTGGTCTCAAACTCACAGTGATCCTCCTCCCTCAGGCTCCTGAGTGCTGGGACTACATGTGTGCACCACCACATCCAGCTTAAAACTATGGTCTTTTGTCGTATGTGTGTGTGTGTGTGTGTGTGTGTGTATGTGCGCGCGCAATCAAACTCAGGACCTACTGCTTGCCAGGCACGTGCTCTGCCACTGAACTATATCCCCGGCCTGTGAATATACAGTTAGTTAGTTGGGCCATGGGCTGCTAAATGGTAAGAAAAAAAGGAATCACATCAGCACTAAAGGAACAGATTTTGAGACAGGCCCTGGAACGGCTTTATGGCCAGGGACTGTGTAGAGGAGAGGGACAGGCTATTGAGGAAGGATAGGCATACAAAATTTATAATGGTGGTACATACTAGACAAAGAGGCTGTGCTATTGTGTCTACAGAAAAAATAGTGGGTGCTCCTAGACAGCAGTGGTGTAGATTAGGCAACTCAAAGATTGGAACATCTCTGCCATGGTCTGAATGTTTGGGTCTCTTCAAAATTCGTACTTTGAAATCTAGTCCTGGTGTGTTCATATGAGATGAACCCTTAGGAAGGTGACAGATCACAAGGATGGTGCCCTCATGAATGAGACTGGAGCCCTTCTAAAGAGACCTGGGAGAGCTTGTTTGCCCTTTTTGCCAAGTGAGACCTCATATGAGGGACAGGCCCTTCACCAGACTGGTATCTTGATCTTGGATGTCTCAGTCTCTGGCATTGTGAACAGTAATTTCCTGCTCATTTTAAATTACAGTCTGTGGTATTTCTGTTATAGCAGCCCATACAGACTGTAATGATCTCCCATTCCTGAAAGAAGCCATCCCACCCAAACTCACTCACTGCATGGGCAGCCATGTTTTCTTCCATATAACTCCATCTTACTCCTGGCCACAGATGAATGGACTAGGAATGGGCACCTGCCCTAAAGATGGTCTGTTCCCCAGTGAGAAGAGATGAGATGAACCAACAATCACCACCTGCAGTCTGAATTCCTATATAGGGCCTTGTGGAGACAGTCTGGTTCACCTGGAGGCAGCTCTCAATTGGGCTTGGCGACAGTCCAGATCTTATCACTGGGCTACCAAGAAGCAGGGAAAGCTAAGAGCAGTAAGCTTCCTTTGGGGATGACTCAGCAAGGCAGGAACAGAGTGACAGGAGGAGGGGCACCTCCTTGAGGCTGCCTCAGCTCCTGACAAACTCAGCCTCAAATGAGCTGGGTACCTTCAATCAACCCTTCACTTGTGCTCTGTTCCCTGGGTACAAAACCACTGAGCCAGAATGGTACAACATTATCTCATACAAGGTGCTCACATGAGCTTGAACAGAGGAACCAACAGCTAATTACACTATGCCTATCTCTCTGCACCCCCTATCAACCCACCTGCCATCCCAGGTTACACCCAGTCAGAAGGCTATTGACAGGCTATTCTGATTCTGTGGGTACTAACCAAGTCCTTTGCACCAGCCCCTCAAAGCAGAAGGGAAAGTGAGGCCCAAAAGCACATGGGCAGACAGACTGTCCTGATCCCCAGTGGGCACCGGTGAGCCCTACCTTTGATGATGTCTGCATCTTCTAGTGGCAGCTTCCATAGCATCTTGTACTTGCTGGCTGTGTCAATCACACTGGCGGCAGTGTACCTGTGGGCAGCCAATGGGGTGCTTTGTCCAGAGTAGGTGAATGGGGCCCAGGACAAGACAGCTGCTCCTCCTGTCTATACCACCCAGGCCTGCTTTAACCACACTCACAGGCTCATGGAGCTGCGCCGAAGAGAGCCTGACTTTCGCTTCAGGGTAGTGCAGACAATGAGGTCTGTGAACAGGAAGAGGGACCGGTCCTTCTTGCCACCGATGGCCTTCTGTGGGGCCCAAGTGGGATTCAGACTGGGTGCAGAGTCCAGAAGCTCACCCACTTCCCCACAGTGCCCAAGGGTATAGCAAAGCCCAGGTAGGGGAGAGGACTAGACCAGTTTGAACTCAACCAGGCTCCTGTTGGAGTGGAAGAGCTAGGAGATATGTGGGTAGTGGGAAAAAACAAGGAACTAAGAGGGAGGCAGGGACAGGTGGGCAGAATACAGACACTTCTTACCACTTCGGTGACCATCTCCTGCCTCAGGAACCTCCGCAGCGGGGCCTGGAGCTGTGGGCAGAAGGGACTAAGCACCTCAAATGTAGTTCCTAATACTTATCCACTCCACAAACCCCAGGGACCCCTCGGCCTCACTCCCTGGTCCAGACCCCGAAAGTGACATCCTGTTCACCCTTCCAGCACTGTGCCATCAGGCCCAGGACACATGGGCAGGGGGACACATGGGGAGAACTGATGATCACAGATGCTGGGAGACACAGATGTAAGCAACACTAGCCCCTGAAGGGGACATGTGCACAGCCACAATTCCAAGTGATAGATGCAGATACAGAAGCAGCTGGGAGGGTTGGGGAGCACGCACATCCTCCATGCCCTCGATGTGAGCCTCAATCTCCTGCAGCACTCGGGCGTGCCTCTCTGCCTCCTCGGCACTCCGCACACCCTTGTTGATGCGTTCAGCCACCTGCTTGATGTTCCGCTGTGCATCCAGGAGCAGAGGGTGATCCGGGTGGTCTTCAGGTGTGTGCTTTAGGAGGTCCTAGGGTAGGAATAGGGACCAGACCGGCTTGCTTAGCTGTCCCAGGAGTCCTACTAATTTCTGCAGCAGGGGTCTGTGGGTAGACACTAGGGACTTCCTTTCCTACCTGACCCCTGGAGACTCTGATGCCAAGCTGAACTAGAAGGGGCCTCAGAGTCTCCTATATCCCCCATGCTTCCAGGTCTTACCCACCTTCACCAGGAGCTCATAGCGTGGGATCCGCTGCACAGGCTTGATCATGAGGTCAGATAGAGCCTGCTTCTCCTTGTTTTCCCGCATGCTTTGCTGAAACCCAAAGCAAAGTGAAGGACACCCATGAGAGAAAAGGTGTGTCAGAGAGGGCACTAGCAAGCATCTCCAGCTCAGCCCAGGAACAGAGGCTGACCCAATGGCTTGAGCTATGGTTCCCTAGCTGGAGCTCCTCGGGCCCTCAAAGCTGGCTTCAGGGAAGGGTTGCCCCGCCTCCTGGCCTGGCACACATACCTCCAGGAACTTGAGAAAGGCAGGCCTTGTCTCCTTAGCCACACGCACGGCATCCTTTGCATTGAGGAAGTTATCAATATAGGCAGAGTAGATGTTTACCAGGACATCTTTGGAAAACTGTGGGTGAAAAGGCAGTTGGGAACCTTCAAGGCACCCTTCATCCCACCTCACACTGTCCTGGTTTCCACTAATTTATGAATGAACATTTTTCCTTATAATTAAAAATGATGCAGTCTTGGTGATACAGGCATGTGCTTCTGTGTCATGTGCCTTGAAGTATGTATGTTGTACACATGACCATGTGATCAAATGTGCACAATAGTTACTCTAGATAGCAAGTGTCACTGGATTGAGAAAAGCCTGGGAAATGAGTATAGCACAGGTGGGTGTGTCTATCAGGGTGTCTCCAGAGACCAGTGACATGTGGGACAGCACATGGATGGGGGAGACCCACCTTGAATGTGGATGGCACCATCCAGTAGGGTGGGGAACCAGAAGGAATAAAAGTGGAAGGAGGAAGCCCCCAGCTCAGCCCCTCTGCTTTGTTTCCTGGCTACCCTGAAGGGAGCAACACTCTCATCCCAGCCTCTCTGATGTTCTGACTCCCCACCGGCCTAAAAAGAATGGAGCCTGCCACAGAAGCTCTCTGACAGTGTGTGTGTATGTGTGTACACATATGTACTCACAGGTATACCTTATCTATGAGTGTCTGTGTGCAGGCATACATCTTAGTCCGGGATGTGTCCTCTGAGCCCAGATCTGGTTCTCTCACTTCCAACTGGACCTCTCTGCCCCCAGGTCTTGGACTACACCAAATCCAGCCACGTAGGTCTCTCCTCACTGCCTTCAGAATGAACTGATTTACTCCAGCCACTTGGCCTCTGCTCATCCACTAACTTCTACCAGGAATGCAGTCTGATCCCAGCCTCAGGGCCAAGCTCTAGAACTGTCTATTCCAGGAAGCACTTGCTGTGACTAGGATTCTGCCTGGTGTACACCTGGCCTCTGGCTTCTCTTGATGCCTCTCCCTTTCTGAGGATGGAAGTGCTCCTTTGACAGCACATAAAGCCAGGCTTAGAGTAGAGCACCTAGGTGATGGATGATTCTTGTTGGCTGATGAAGGACCAAGTATGACATCTCAGTCAGAAGCTTGGGCTGGGACAGGACACTCAGGGTCCTATTCCAGCAGGACCATGACCAGGCTCAATAACCTTCACTGTGTCTCTGGCTCTATCAGGCCTCTAAGTCCCTGCCTTTCTAAGATGTCAATTGTCCCTGCCTCTGGAAAGGGGGAGGCAGAGCCCTGGTTACTTCAGTTTCCAGGTCAGCAGGGACATTATAAGACCTGATAAAACAAGATGTAACGAAGTTTCTCAAATGTAATTAAATTCTTATAAGTATGCACTCAATTTAACAGTGGAAGAAAATGGCATGCTTATAGACATTTAATTAAATTTCTGCTAGTTTTGCTTTAGGAGCTCTTTTTGAATTTTTAAAAAAATTTTCTTTTCCACTTATTTTATGCTTATTTATTCCCGCGCCATAAGTTTTTGTCTCTTCTGGGGTATCTTTTTCTTCCATACAACTTCCTCCTCTGGTGCAGGCACAATTTGTTTCTTCTTGGGAAGGACCACCTCACCGTGGCAGGGGAGGGCACATGTGGGTTACTCCAGCTACGAGCTCTGTAAGTGCAGCAGCTCACCTCCGTGCTTCGTTCACCTGAATATATTCAATGACTGGAGAGTTTACATTTAAACCCTTAAGTTCAGCACCACTCTGCATTTTAAGCACGTGCAGCAGACATTTAGCATCCTGTTTGGGGCACTGATCATGTCCAGCCCCGCTTGGCCTGGGCACACCTACTGACTCCAGCACTGTAACGCCTGAATGGCACACAATGCTTCTTTAAAGTGACATCCTTTGGATACTTGGGGGTCTTTGGGATATGCAGACCCTTGATGACCTGGGCAGTTTGATGGGTGTCCTTAAAGTGAACATGAAGATTTGGACCTCCTGATTTGCCTGATTTTTGTGGCGTTTTCCAGATCAAGAGAGTAGTAAACCATTTTCACAGGTCACATAAGGCCATACTCTTTGAATTTTGAGTCCCTACTGCAGGACTCTGAAAAGTTTATGGGGCAGCCTGAGCTGTGAGGTGACCATACAACACCAGAGAGCTAGGCATGGAGTGGACCCCTCCATCACACATTACTTGTGATTTTGATTAGCTTACTCATTTCTCTCTGCTTCAGTCATCAAATTTTTTTGTTCCGTTCTTGTTTTTTATTTTTTATTGTTTGGTATTGGGGATTGAACTTAGGACTTCATGCTTGCCAAGCAGGCGCTTGTGCCATAGAGGTAAACCCCCGGCCCTTATTTCTCTTTTTTAGATGGGGTTTTGCTATGTAGTTCGGGCTGGCCTTGAACTCACAGTGATTCTCTTGACCTCAGCCTCCCGAGTGCTGAGATTACAGGTGTGAGCCATCGTGCTTGAATTTTCAGTCATCAACTTTAAAATTGGGGTTACCCAAGTACTAGGGATTGAACCAGGGGCTTCATATTGACCTACATCCCCAACTCTTTTATTTATTTATTTATTTATTTATTTATTGTCTTTCTCATTTTTATCGGTACCAAGGATCGAACTCACAACCGCCTGCTTGCAAGGCAGGTGCTTATGCCCCTGAGCTAAATCCCCAGCCCCCCCTTTTATTTTTTTATTTTGAGAAAAGGTCTAAGCTGCTGAGTTGCCCAGGCTTGTCTAACTTTTGAGCCTCTTGCCTCTCAGCCTCCCAGGGTGCTGGGATTACAGGCATGTGCCACTGTGCCTATCTATCATGGGGCACTTGGTACACATAATGTATTTAGAATAATGCCCAACCTGTAAATGCCAAAGACTGTTAGCTATGATCATTAAAATCACTGGTGGAGAAAAGAGCTAGTCAGAACAATGCCAGTGTCAGTGTCAAATCATGTACAGGGTCAGAGTCAGGGCAGCAGCTGAGGTTCATGTTAAGACAGGAGAGCAGCAGCATCTGGGTCAGTGTCAGCACCAGCTCAGGGTCAGGACTAGTATCAAGTCAATACCAGCCACTGTAGTTGGGCCCAGATCTATGCCAATGTCTGGTTAGGGCTGGAGTCCATAACAGAGTCTGGCTACATCTGGGGCTGGGCAATGTCCAGGTTCAGATTGGACCTCAGGTCAGAGTCAGACTCTGGGGCAAGTACAGTGGGAAGTCAAGCAGCATCTGGAGCACTCACCGACTGGACGAGCAGGGTCCCGACCTTCTGCTGTGCGTGCCAGGTCTGCACACAGTGCCGCACCTGCTCCAGGAACTGCTCGTGATGCTCCAGAAGCTCAGGGATCTGGTCAAAGATCTCATCCACCAGCGACGGGTCACACAGCAAAGAGTTCTCTGGCTGCTTCAGTGGCTGCATGTAGCCCTGGGGGGACCCATAGGGTCAGTGTGCCTTCCTGCAGAGATGGTACCTTCACCCCACCTGAACAATCCCTGGATGAGGGCATGGCGAACTACTAGGGCCTCTGCTCTTGCCCTGACTTCTCTATCTCTTTCATTCCACTGGAGTTTCAGAGGGGATGGGAAACCCTATCCCTACACCTGCCATTCTGCCCAGCCCAGAGCCTGGCATGAGATGGAGAAAAAGGGGCTCAGGAAAGGTTTGCTGGATGCATGAACAGAACTTGGAATGAGGAAAGCAAGAAGGGAGAGGTCCTTGGGACACTGCTCCCAACTAATCCAGCAAGTATTTACTGACCATTTGCTATGTTCCTGGCATTGCTGTAGGAACTGAGAGATAGCAGTGGACAAAAACACCCTACCCTAATACAGCTTTCATCTAGTTGGATGAAACACATAAAAGGAATAAAGAAAATTATACCATTAGTTTTGTCTTTTTAAGGAAAAAAAATCCATTGTTAATTAAATTAGGACTTGCCACTAATTATAGGATGAATTTGGGCTTCAGAGATGTTAAAATGGGACAACTGTGTGCCTTAGAATCAATTCCATGTGGATCATAGAGTAAGAGGTGATACTGCTTAGGGGAAGATGTTGCAGGCTGGGGCATAGAAGAGCCCTAGGAAGTTTCTGGATGCTTGCAATGACATTATCTAAACACTGACTTAACAAGTTTTAGACGTGCTGGTCAGTCAGTGGCTAAAATTTTTGTTTTCCACATCAAATCTGCAGTCAACGGTGTACCTGAGTGCAAATTGCCCGGCTCAGTGGCTGGAGCTCACATGGAGAGGTTGCCCTCTACTGGCCCACACTGTAACTACAGGCCAAAGAAACTCATTTGAAACGATGTTACTGCAGCATATGTGATGTTGCAGTAACATTTATACCAAACATTTTTTAAAAATCTGGCTTGTTTTATAAAACAAACTTGAGAAAACCAAGCTCCACAGAATCTTCTTGCCTGACTGGGGGTTGCGAAAGACCCAAGGTGACGGACGGCAAAGAGACAGGTAGGCAGCCTCCTTGTGGGCCTCTCAGGCTTGGGTGAGGCAGCACAGTGCCTGGGGCAAGATCTGAGGCCTCCAAGAAGCTAATGCCACTCACCTCTGGGTGCCACACCCTACAAAGAGGCTGGCACAGAGAGAGAGAAAAGAGTAAACAGAGACAAGAAGCCCACAGAGAATCTGCTCAGCTAACACCACATTCAATCGACAAATGCCTGCTGAGCAACTGCTGCGTGTGGGGCCGCAAGCCCTGGGACTTCAGATCCTGCACCTGTGCAGCTGGCAGCTGAGTACAGTGGGCAGAAAACAAGCATGATGAATAAGTGAACGATTATATACAGGACGCAAAAGGGAGCAGGTACCTGGGTATGAGTAGAGTGGAGATGTCAGGATGTCACAAGGGGGCTTGGTCAGGGTGCTGGGGTGGGGGAGTTTCTTAGCTGGCAGTCCTGAGGTTGAAGACAGGCTGCAAGAGTCACATCTAGGAAAGGAGGCCCATCTGGGGCCCAGGTTCAAATCCTACCTCCTCCTAGCTGCTAATCTCAGTATTTCACTTCGTTATTTTATTATTGTTGTTGTTATTATTATTGTTGTCTTTTTGAGACAGGATCTCCTATGCAGTTCAGGCTGGCTTTGAGCTCACTTTGTAGCCCAGGTTGGTTTCAAACTTGCAACAATCCTCTTGACTCAGCCTCCCTACTCCTGGAATTATATGTGTGCACCACCATGTCTGGTTTAACTTCTTTATTTTATACTCATAAGTGCACGTATCAATTTCCCACAAGAAATACAAACATTATTACAAAATTTAATACAACTGCATATGTGTAGTAATAAACTAAAAAATAATAATAATAAAGCAAAAAAACTTCCTGATCTGCAAGGACAATACTAATCAGTTTTGTTAGCTGTGATAACTGGAGGTCAGCACTAGGGCCACAGACTCCAAACTCTGTTTGAACACCACTATGCTTCAGGCAATGTAGATGGGTGCATAGACAGGCAGGGTTTCTGCCCAGGCTATGACATTTCCTAGCGTCAACTGCCACTACTTACTAGATGACACAAGACAACCTCTGAGCTTTTATTTTGTCATCTAAAGAAGAGAATCATAATAATCCCTCTCCCACAAGGTTAATGCAAAATTTAATACAACTGTACACACACACACACACACACACACACGAACAATGAACTCATTAAACACTACTCCCCATCCCCTCCGCCCCAGGCCCTGGCAGCCATCATTCCACCTCCTACAAGTTTCACCACTCCAGGTAGCTAGTGTAACTGGAATCACATAGTACTTGTCCTTGTATGACTGGCTTGTTTCACTTAGCATCGTGTCATCAAGGCTCACAGGGGGTTGCAGTGTGCGTTAGAATTTCCCTCCTTGTCTGGCTGAGAAATACCAATTGCATGTTTGGGTTCTCATGAACTTCTTTCTGTGTCACCACTTGTCACCATGTGTGATTTGTCTACGTGGTGGTCTTTGCCATAGACTATGAGTTTTAGAAACCAGGCCCTATCATTCATGCTCATTGCTGAACTGGATGCATCCCCTACCCAGAACACTGTTTAGTGCACAGAAGGGACTCAGATTGGGTCACTGAACGGATGATGGACTGACTGAATAAGTGAATGAAATACTATGGCTGTTTCCAGAGCTCTGCCTTTACCCCTTTCCCAGATGGCTTGAGCAAATTCATCCTCCACTGCACTGCAGGCCCACATTAGCGCATGCACAGGCTCTGGACTACCCCCAAACCAACATGTCTGAACCTCAACTCATCAGCTTCCCCAGACATGATTCTTCCTTGTGTCCTACCTTTCCCAAGACAGAAGCCCAGATACAACACTGGGCTTCCCTACAATGCCCCCCAGATCTCACCAGTTACCATACCTGGCCTGGCCATCTCACCTCTTAAGTGTCTGGCCCCAGGTCCCTCTGCCCCTTGCCTAATCCAGTGGCCCTAGCTCCTCCTCTGCCACCCACCTTCCCAATAGTCACTCAAAGTCACACACTTCATGTTTCATAAAGTATGAAGCAGGGTACACACCTGCACTGCTCAAAACCCTTTCCTGACTCTTCAGGGCCCCTGGTGAAATCCAAATCCTTCTCTGGTGTCCAGGGTCCCCATGATGTGATCCCTTCTGGTTCCTCATGTCACCCTAGAACCAACCCATTACGTTTCACACCAGGCCTGTGGACCACTGCATGCACTAGGCCCTCTCGTATGTGGCTCTGCACCTGATATTCCTGCTGCTGAGAGGGCAGGTCTCGGCAGAATTCAGCACCTCCTCTCGGCATCCTTTGCTGACCTTGTGCTTCTGGAGTGTCCCATGAACTCATGAATATCCCCATCAGGACTGAGGGCGCCCAAGGCCTCACATCCCTCTGCTTCTTGCACCTGAAGCAGAACCTGCCACACCAGGTGCCCAATACTCCACTTCCAAGGCCAGGCATGGTGGCGCATGCGGTAGGGCCTGTAATCCCAGCATTCGGGAGGCTGAAGCAGAAGGACTGCTGTGAGTTCAAGGCCAGCTTGGCTACAAAGTGAGCTCAAGGCCAGTCTGAACTGCACATCGAAACCCTGTCTCAAAAAGACAAAAACAAAAACAAAACCCCCCAAAAACCTACTCCATTCAAAGAACGCTTTCCTGGTCGATGAGTAGAACAGAGCGAGGGCAGACATAAAGGGGTGCACAGCTCTGAGCTTGAGCTCAGGCTTTCTGGCAGGACGGAAAAGGACTGTAGATTGGGGACTTCTGCCCTGAGGTTCTCCATGGAGAGGCAGTATGTCCCAGGATCACAGCTCCCTTGACCAAGACTTTGTTACCACTGGTCTCCCGCTGGTCTAACTGCCCCTCAGCTCAGAATGGCTGCTCTCAGGAGCCTGGGCAGGGGTCTCACCTGCATCAGGGTGCGCAGTGACTCCACATATGACTGCTCCGTGTCCAGCAGGGTCATGGTCACGTGCTTCCGCATGTCCTATGGGAACAGGAGCAGAAGGTGAGCAGCCTGTCCCTTCAGATTCTGTTACCTGCAGCCACATGCAGGTTCTCCTGAGGGCCTAGAGAACACATCACACCTCCTCCCTGCCTTCAAGGCCTGCCCTCCCTCATGGCTCCTGCTATTCTCCCAAAGCATCCTGGTTTGTGCGCTCCTAGCCTTTGACTCAGGTGCTCTTTCTGAAGAACCCCCCAACATTCAAATACACCCCTCCCCAGAGTTAGGCTCCACTCTTCCACCCACTCCACCCCTATCCCTGCTATCGCTGCGGACAGACCTGAGATCTCTGGCTTACTTCTTGGCTCCTCTAATAGGCTTTTGAAAAGGACTAAAAACAAAAACAAAAAAACAAGAAAAACCCCCAATAAATTCTCACATTTACAAAGGAGGATGCCTCTAGGCCACCTCTCATTCCAGCTGCCAACTCTGCCAAGTCTCAAAGTCCCAGCTCTGCTTCAGTGCTATGGGGACACGTCACAGTCGGGGGAATCCACATTATTCTTTAAAGTAAACGCTGTCACCCCTGCCACAGATGAAGGCACTGTGGCTCAGAGAGGTGAAGTCAGTGCTGGCAGTCACATAGCTGGGCAGTGCCAGCGTTTGGTCACAGTCAGACAAGGCTAGACCTCAATTCTCTTTTAAAAGGTTGCTAAGCTCTCTAATATGCCAGGCACTGTTCTAGGCATTTTACAAGGGTGATCAAAATATAATATGGTGAATGTTTAATTTTTAAAAAACTATTGCAATAAAAGTTGCATTGCTATTATCCCTCAAAATACTCCCCACCTCACTTTGAACACTTACTCCATCATTGTTGCCACTTCCTGAAGCAGGGCTGGAAGTCCTTTTTCCTGAATGTCTTTATAGGATGTGATAAAAAATAATGCTGCTGCTGAGTGCCATACAATGGTGTGTCTGGGGTCTGGGGGTTTAGCTCAAGGGCACAAGCACCTGCCTGGCAAGCATGGGGTCATGAGTTTGATTCCTGATGCCCTGCCAGAAAACCAAAACATGATGTTGTGTTCTTAATCCAACTTATTCACTAGATCTAGTACTGTGGGAAACTATGTGGCACTTTGGAGAAGACTTCTGGTTCTTTCCCAAAGTCAAAATGACCATGATAGGTAAACATTTTAATCAATTTAGGACATTAAGGCAATCTCAACTGCACAACTAAAGATATAAAAGAGGACTTCCAGAACTGCTTCGGGAAGTGGCAAGAACTATGGGATAAGTCAGTTCAAAGTGAGGGAAAGCATTCTGAGGTGAATCCATGTGTCTTTTACTATAACAAATTTAAAAAGAAATTAAACATTGACCATATTTTCTGATCACACTTCATATGTTATCTAACCTTCCTGATCACCCTGTGAAGCAGACGACATTCTCCTGCTCTTAAGGATTGGGAAAAGGAGACGCAGTCCCTGATACCTCCATCCTGAGGATTCAAGTTACAGAGTCCCCAAGAGGTTGCTCAGTTCCCTGCACCTACACTCCGTGGGAGACAGGGTGCCCACCCCTGCCAGATGAAGCCTGTGCTATGAGAAGGCTCTGCTGGAAGCTGCCTGGAGAATGCTGCCTTGGTGCTCAGCCCACCGTGCACCTGTCTCCCTGTGTTAAACTTATCTCAGGTCCGCCTCCCTCTGACCCAGAGGCTCAGGGCTCAGGGCTCAGGCCTGTCCACTAGTGTCTTATCACGAGGCACACTCAGAAAAGTGGGCTCCCATACTAGGAACTCGGTGGCTATGAGATAAGTGACCCCTGAGGGAAGGGAGCAAGCCAGATTGCCCATACCTGCCAGCCCTGTGCTCTAATGTCCTCACCAGGTCCTGCCTTACAGTAGCCAAATGCCATCTCTCTTCCATGCTTTAGAGGTCACAGCTTCCAGTAGGAGTTGGTATAACATGGGCACACAGGGAGGGGACTGTCAAACAAAGGCCCAGATGCCCACTCCTGTTCCCCACCGCAGGACACCTCTATACCTCCCAGATGTGGCCTCACTTTAGCCTCAGTCTTCAGCTCCACGACACAGGTGCTGTCATCTCCACTGCACAGATGAGTCAGGTCAGAGAGGTAACATGACTAGCTCAAGGTCACAGTCAGTGACTGACAGAGCCAGGACCAGAGTCTCCTCAGTCACCTCATGCTGTCTTAGGGTTACAGCACCCCAAGTTATCACCAGACTGACTGTGCAAAAGATCCCCAGCTCTGCCCTCCCTGGCTGTGTGACCTTGGTGGTCACCTAACCACTCTGTTTCCATGTTGTCCTCTATGCAATGGAATTAAACACAATTCCATTTCCTTGTTTCCAGGACTGCAAAAGCATGGCAGTGGGGAGTAGGGCAGTGTCAACACAGAGGCCCTCACTGTCCACTTTTATTTTTAACCTCACTGAGACTACGAAGAGCACTTCCTGACAGCAGAGCAGCCAGGCTGGCAGCTGGGGTCCCTAGTCACTCCATGCCTAAATCTCCCTCCTGGCCAGACCCAGCCAAGTGGGCATAATAAGGGTCATGGTCAAAGAGGCTTCCTAAGAGACAGGGCTGACATTGGGACTGATGGAGCGGAAGGGGGCTGGAGGAGCACAGAGAAGCTGACGCTGCAATGCCTGCCTTTCCCAGCCTCCTCCCTGCTGCAAAGCACACTGGGCTGTCACTCAGCTGTCAGGTAAAGAAAGCAAAGCCATCTCCCTGTCAGCTCAGGGAGCCCCCTCCCGCATATGCCCAGACACAGGAGTAGTGCACGGGGTGGGAAGAGACTGCGGGAGCAGGAGAAGGACAACGCAGCTGTCAACCAGATCAGCAGGCCCACCTGTTTGGGGCGTGACAGTCCCGGAGGTCCAGCTTCCCTCCAAAGCCCCTCACCCCTCAACAGCCCTAACCCTTGGTCACTAAGTGAGGCCCTGAGGTGGGAACAAGGGGTGAGGACAGGAGGGATACAGCAGGAAGACAGAGGGAGGCCTCTCTTGATATGACCAGGGCCATTCCAATCCAAAGAAAGACCCGTATGTGTACAACGTGAAGGCAGAGGCCGGAGGGCAGCAGGGACACACAACACTGCACAGCACCTACACAGGACAGCGATGCAGCCCCCACTGGGCTGCATGAGTGGAACAATAAAAATCCAGGCCCAGGGAGACACACAAAAACAAGGCAACAGCCCGGAGGTGTCCCCCTCATACTGGGAGGGGGGATGGGGACACCACAGTTCCCACCCAGAATCATCTCTAAAGTCTAGCAGGGAGCAGAAGGCAAGGGGCAGGCAAAGCTGGCTACTCCACAGCGCATGCACACACACACACACACACACCTCAGAAAGACGCTAGAAACCATCCTGCGCCGGCCTGTGGCCCCAGCAGATGCCTGGCAACAGATTTGCTTCCATCCTGATCTACTCTACAAGACGACTGTTAAAAGGCCTTGACCTCAGTACCCTGCCAGCAACATACCCTCAACCTCCTTGACCTCATCGCAGGTCACAGCGCCCCAAATCAGGGAGCTGGGGCCTGATCTGAGTTCTCAGTCCTGTGCACCATCATTTGCCCATGCCTGCCTCCCTGATCTCCAGGGCCGGCTGAGTCCAACGCCAGGGCCCAGGTCCTGGTTGTCCTCCTCCTACCCATACCTGGGCCTCCCCGAGGTCCTCAGAATCTGCGCCACTGCCCTCGGCGGGCTCCCCGGAGGCGGCAGCCGGGCCCAGCTCACGCATGTCTTCCAGCGCGATGGTGAACTGGGCCAGGGTCTTCACCATCTGAAGCATACGGCCAGCCCGCCGCTGGAGCGGGGTTGCCTAGGTGGCAGAGGTGGGGTGGAGAGGCGGTTCGGTTCCGTCCGGGGTCGGGGTCGCCCTCCCACCCTTGCTTCTCTGGGGACTCGGCCCCACCGCGGTGGAGGAGTCGGTTCCAGCGCCCTGCGAGCGTGGCGGCGGCGCGGCCAGCGGTGGCGCTGTGACCTCCTCCGCGCAGGGAGTGCGCCGGGCGAGAGCTGCGCCCGCGCCGCGCCGCGCCACCGGGGAGGGGTCCCCGCCTTCCGAGGCTCGCAGCGCACCGCCCCTCCTCGCACGGCCCGCCCAAAGCCGCCGGACCTCACCTCAGTTAAACAGCCTCTTCCGCCCCGCCCCAGGACACCCGCCGTGCACACCGAGGACCGACGCGAGCACGCGCCGCGACACGAACTTTCTCTCCACACCGGTACTCAGCCCGAGAACACAATAAACCTATTTTACACCTTGGAGGCACTGACGACACACAGGTACACGCACATCCCTACACAAAGCAGGTCCACAAGCACCGCCATCCCCCTGCCGGCACCAACGTCAACACACTGCAGTCGCACACACATCGAGACCCTGACCCACGAACCTGACCCTGGATGCACACTGTGACACGTGCTTCGTCCTTATCTATGGTAGGGAAGAAACAGGTAACCCATGAAGGTTTAACACATCCCTGGTGACTCCACCGGCTTCTGAGCACTTGGGTGTGATGGTGGGGGGTGACCACCAGGGGACCTGGAGTCATCCTTATCCCCATTCCTTCAGCCAACCCAACCAGTTCACCTGTGTCCTGTACCCAGCACTGTCTAGGAATGTTTCAGGCTTGGTTGTCTCTGGTCCCTCAACCCCCGACTGGGGAGAAGCTCTGGTATTTACATTCCTCCTCACTCACTCCATGAGTCTGTGCTCCAGCAGGATCCACTTCCTCAAATCCAAGAGTGAGGCCACAACCCATCCTACACACACTCAGGCAACATTACGGTGTTGCTGGTGAGCAAGCTGGGTTTGCAGGAGCTCCCACTTGCATAGGTGGTGGTTGTGATGCACCCTGCAGCTGGGCCTTGGCCCTGGCTAACCTGACTTTCACCTAGCTTTCAGCTGACTCCATCCAAACCTGCTTTCGTTTGGGTGTCCTTTGCAGAGGGGACATCCACACCTTACCATCCAAGCAAGACCTATCTGTCTACCCTGTCCACCGTTATGGT